ATGCATGGAAAGTGTTACAGCTGTGTACTTGATACTTTGGTTTAAATTAGTTCTACAGTTGGGGTCATTTTTTTTATATCGCGGATGACTTACATTTTAAAATTATTAAAAAAAAAATCTTTACTTCATACATAAACTTATTTCCTTACATTTGCCATATAATAGATTATGTAAGCTATACTGGTACCAAATTTGGCAACTGTAAGTCTAATAGTTTTTTTTTGGTAAATTTTTTAGTAAGGTAACCATGTTCTGGGTGTATCTGCCCCCTTAAATAGCAATTATTCTCATTCTAAATCTTTGGCTATCGAGTTTCATGGGTTTTTAAATTTAAGATTATGAACACATTGGCTTGACGAAAATGATTATATACACTTAAATACATACTAAAATTTACTTTTGTTAATAACCCTACACTATTTTATGCACACATACAAAAAAGAATATTTTAGCGGCAGTTACAACGTCAAAAAAAAAAAGGAAACTCCTTTATACTGAATAGTTCTACGTAACAACAAAAATGTAAAAATACATAGTCCTAGAGCACACTAACACATACATACGAAGATATGTGTGTGTGTAAGTAGGGTGTGAGGTGTGTAGACAGGCGGGGAAGGAAAGCAGTTTGGCAGGAATAACGGTAGGTAGGAAAGTAGGTAGGCAGGCAGCAGCGCAGGCAGGTTAGTAGATAGGTAGGTACATAGGCAGGGAGTTAGGTATGTAGGTAGGTGGGCGTAGGTAGGAAGGCGCCTCACTCGGTATAGTGAGCGATTATAGTAGCCCATCATATTCATAGCGTTTCGCAATTATTAAAACGAACAAAGGTACCATAGTACTCACGGAAAAAACCCGGGGAGCTAAATGGAACCCTGCCAGGGCGCCACCAAATCGAATTTTTTTTCGTAGAAACCACCACAGGGGTATTAGCATTAACTTCTCAAATTTGAATGACAAACGAATGAAATCTTTGATAATGCTTAAACAAACAAACCCACATATTCGTTTTTGGGGCGCGGGTTTGACCACACTGCCGCCTAGACGCACCAAGGCTCACTGTATGAAAGCCTTGAGTGTACGTTAATCAACCTCTGTAATAGTGAGGTAGAACACACATTGGCGACCGCCCATGTGTTAGAGACGCGTCCCTTGGCGCTCCAGGGAGCCACTGGTTATATTTCCGCAGGGGCGCCCCTAATTCGGTTTAATTATAAAATGTCGTGTGCCACCGTGTCCCTATTGTAGGGTGCTCTTTAAGGAGGCACTCTCTGTAGAGCCCGGGGCGCTAGCTGTCGCCATCTGCCAGGGCGCCGGCGGGCGCTCATTATTCTACTTAGTGAACATTTATAGTAGCCCATCTAAACCGTAGTGTCGCCCGAGGTGGGTCTTGGCCGCTCTGGGCCACTCAACCGCCGGGGAGCTGGCGGATGAACCTGGTGTAGTTTTATCACTGAATCTCAGAGGCGTAGCACCATTCCTGGCGCCTGGGGACAAATTTTCAATTTGGCGCCCCCCCCCTCCCACCGGAGACAAACTTTCAATTTGGCGCCCCCCCCCCCCCGTATTTTTTAAATATTTATAATGCAAAACTATTGCTAAAATGAGCTTTTAATTTTTTTCAACCATTTTGGCGCCCCTAGGGTTGGCGCCCGGGGACATATGTACCCCCCGCCCCCCTCGCTGTGCCTCTGCTGAATCTAGTATTACCTATGACCGCAATTGATGAGATAGCCCCTCTGGATTCCCCTCTAGATTCTGAGCTCATAATCGTATAATTAGAAAAATCGAACCCTCCCAGGGTGCCACACTTAAGAATTTTTTTCTTTCTCGAAACCCTTTTCACCAACTACCCAAAATTTTATGACTCTCGTACGAACAGTGTCAAATTGCATCTGGCTTTTATTTTTATGGAGAAAAATTGCATTGCTTCCTGTCAGAGACCCCAGATCGAATGGGGCGCCAAAAGGGGTAGACAATTTTTTAAAAAATCCTCATTCTTCAGTAAAATTTAAGAAAACAGATTTATACATGGCTGATATCCTCAATTATTTTATATAGGGGAGTGTATGTAGGGATGGGCGCCTTTTTGCCAGCGTTTGGATAGGGTTGGCACATAATTGATAGTTCGCCCCGGGCGCCGGAATAGGTTTCTACGCTTCTGCTTCCTGCTAGGGTGCCGCCCTGGCGAAATCTTTCCGGGGGGGGGGGGCGTGCGAACACTGTTAAAAGTATTTTTTTCTATATAAATTCCGTTTCGTTCGGGGGTGGGGGGGGGGTCGATAGACTTTCTTCGGGGGGTGGGGGGGCTCTGCGTCCCCCCCCCCCCCCCCCTCCGAATAGATTCCTGGAAAAAACTCTGTTCACAAAGTTTTATGGCGATCCGATGAAAAAGATGTAGTAATTCATATAGGACAAACAGATAAACATACTTTCATTTCTATACATATAAATAGATATATAGGGCCTACTTTAACTAGTGTCCGCATACTCGCACCCGGAAACTTAGTCACAATTTTCTTTGTTACATTTGAACCCTTTAGGTTAATCAATATTAACAAAATTGAACAAGATGCAACAAATACAATTAACCAAGAAATTGAACAAATAAAATTCACGTTATCTTTTTATTGTTTTTAGATATAGAGTAGTAACAGACTACCTACAGGTCCTAACTCGCGACGAGGTACACATTTGTATTAAAACACACATCTAAGACATTTTCCATTTAGGTGGGTTTTGCAGTACAGTGGTTTCTTAAGTCGTGGACAAGTGATTGCGCTTATCTCTGTTGAGTAGCTATGTATTCTGTCCTATATTAGACACTTTTGTAAATATCTGTCACAATATGGGCAAAGAGATGATATAACGATAGCTTATCTTTGCGGACGACGCTAAACTTTGGCATCGACACCACGGCCTACAAGTTCAAATTCGGTCCTTCAGAAATGTTTGAAGTCTCTAGATTAAAACTACTTTTCTCTTTTATGTGCCTACGGACCACATCACATGCATTTGTTCTGAAAGTCTAAAAACAGAGGCACAAATATATCGTCTAGACTTGTGAGGTCTACAGATTAGGTATTTTGGCAGTTATCTAAGCCCTTGCCTGTTCTGACTCAAAGCCCTATTCTTTCTCTATCGACGCCTTGCGTAACATGGGATTGGGTTTTTAAGGCGGCATAAAGCTTTATGTTGTTCCTTTTTGAGTACACTAGATTAAAAACTAACGTTTTCAGATGCCTAAAGATGTTTAACCACTAATTAATCAGAATAATGGGTCAAGATTTCAATTCTTGGTTTTGGGACACGTTAGTTGCCGGGGTTGAGCTAATGTCGATAGCATAAGGACTGTACCTTGATGCGGGCGTTTTATTTGTTGCCCATCGTAATAATTGAATGGTTGATGGGGCTTCTTCAAGGGTATGATTTGCCGTAATGTTAATGATATCATGCATGTGCGGCTTTTCTAAGAAGAAAATGCGTTTAAACACTTTTTAGTTATGCTTTTTTTAAATAGGCCTATATTTTACGACATCATAATCGTAATGAACAATAAAATGAATTTAAACAACTTTAGAATACGCCTGTTTCGGCTAACATGAATGTTATTCTTCAAACTAGTAATGTTAAACGTGTCTTTTTCGCATTTTCGACTTATAAGCAATACAGTAAATTCCGATAACGTCCATATGCATACAAGCAATGGCGTAGGCGAGGAGGGGTTTAATAGTGATTTAATAATGATACTTTCTTAACCCTCTACTGGACATCATGTTTGGTACCTTGCCCCCGGCAACTGGGTGGATTTGGATTACACCCAAGTTTTACTTCATAGTAAATGGCTTCAGTTTTAATTATTGGAGTTGGTAGCAACATTGACACAGTTGAAGGTATTCAGAACAAGGTGGCCAGGAGAAATCACATTAATTAGTATATAATTTACCATTACTAACAATAGGCCCTACTTAATTGTTTAATGTTGCTGGATATTAAGCCTGGTAGGTATTTATGTTTATTAATTTGTACAGAAACAAAAAAAGGATTCCCAAACAAAGTTTTATTTTTCAGAAATAAAGAAAATGATACAAATCAATAAAGAACAGTTTTCAAAAGAATTTGTATAAAAGTAATTATTATAAAATAAGAATATAGCATTGCATAGATAAAAATAAAATACTTGACACAAACAATATGAGGAATATTTTTTATCAGAGAAGAGAAAAATATATGATGTAGTTTGAAAATAATAATGTACAGAATGTAGCTTTTGCAGATTTAAATGAAAATTCTCATGCCTATATAATTTATTGAGTAAATGAAGCAAGGCCCAAAACCATAGGCTAAATAATATGCATGGGACAGGAATTGAAAACTACAAATTGCATATAGTGAAGGTTACCCTATTTATTGGCTATATCCACAGTAAAGATTTATGGCTTTACTACCTGCTTGTAAAATTGTTAAGGAAAAAGTAAAGTATTGTTAACTTTTTATGGCAGACCAACTACGGGCTGTGTTCTGGGAACATGTCATCTGTAAGGGGCATTGTTCTCGGCACATGTTGTCATTTTTTGTGTTCTCGGCACATGTTGCCATTTTGTGTGTTCTGGGAACATGTTGCCATTTTGTGTGTTCTGTGCACATAATGACATTTTGTGTGTTCTGGGAACATGTTGCCATTTTGTGAGTTCATGGAAGATGTTGACATTATTTGGCTGTGTTCTGGGAACATGTTGCCATTTTGTGAGTTCATGGAACATGTTGACATTATTTGGCTGTGTTCTGGGAACATGTTGCCATTTTGTGTGTTCTGGGAACATGTTGCCATTTTGTGTGTTCTGGGAACATGTTGACATTATGTGGCTGTGTTCTGGGAACATGTTTGTTTCATTTTTAAATATTATAATAAAACATTTTTAGAAATTCTATATTAGGAATTGTGTATATATATAAATTTATATATTTAATAAGACAATTTGATGAATTATAATAAAGAGCAAAAATGATTCAAATAAGTTTAGAAGTATTTGGCTTGCTGTCCTAACAGTGAACTGTATTGCGAGCTTGTTTCCCTAGTGATAACCCATGTTTTTTGTGCAACCCTTCCAATCAAGTATCCAGCTTTTTCTTGGCCTGTATCAAAATGCTGGTCAGACTTGCTTGACTTGTGTATCACAATATGATTTTGAATGTTTTTCTGTAAATGAAATAAAGGCAAAATATTTTGATACTTTCTTTTGTGGAACTTGCAAGAAAAATAAATTACAAATTTATATTACTATCTCTAATATTTCTTTACTATAACTAATTACTTTGAAAAGATAAAGCACTGAACATGATGAATAACAAGAAACAAACATTATCAGCAAAGATTATAGATTTAAAATTGTGTTCATTCATATTGAAGATTAATGAAGTAGACTATCAATATTTACCCTCTTGATGGCTGATACTTTGATTTGATGTCTTTACTTTAAGCTTACACATCAGTCTCTGTGTGGTAAAATATGAAATAATATGCTTCAATAAAACTGTTTCACTATATTAATTATATTAGATAAGTACATAGTTTTGAGCTCTATAACAATATGTGTTTCAATTATCATTCAAATATAATACCCTCTATGTTGTACAACTCACTGATTTATTAGAATTTAAAAAAAAGACAATAATTAATAAAATATTTTGGATTAAAATCCATTATATTTATTATAACATACAATGCTATCTCTTGCTATAATAATTACTTTAAAAAATGGGTTATGCCTATAGTACAGTTACCTGAGGATGAAACTAGGCACAGTGTATAGTCCACGGAGACTGATTAATATCCCTTGTAATTGAACATCAGTTGTAGTTATGAAATCAGGATGGCCAAACACACACTCATAGTCCTGAAAAGCAATTTACACATAGATTAGCAAGAATATTTCACAAATTATTAAATTAAAGCTAACCCCTATTTAGTGCAATCCATCAAAGTAGTAGCATTTTTGTTAAGTTGTAGACACAATACAAAGTAATGTTTGGTCTGTGATTTACATACTTTTATAAAATAGCAATCAAATTATATATATATATATATATATATATATATATATATATATATATATATATATATATATATATATATATTATATATATGTATATATATATTCATTGTAAATTTTAGCTATGTCTTGCTATTAAATTTATTTACTCGACTGATCTAAACTCACTTTATTTAAACATAATATAGTGGATAAGTATAGTGATTTTATTATTCAGCAATAAATAGCAGGCCTAAAAAAATTTAAATAGTAACGTTTGCGAATGAACACATTAAATTCTATGTATTTCCATTTCTATGTCTTTCCCAACTTGATGCATATTACTAACCAAGCATTAAACTATAGTCCTAAACCTGACTCTAATTACCATTTATTGGACAACCTGAACCTTTGCGATACCATGTTATAATATATTATTTTAAAAAAGAGCTTACCACTAATTAGTAAAATCAATTGTTTTTAGTATTAACTGAGCCGCATACTATCTGCTGCTATTGTCATCACCAGAAATCCAGTATGTTGGCAAAGATTAGTCTCTAAGTTCCCTGCAACCTCTTTCCTCTCGAGTGCGGAAAACACTGAAATCATTAATCATTATTTCATTATGCCTAATAGTTTAAAGGTACTATTAAAGTAGTACTAAATAGTACGAGTCTTAGTTACTATAGGTCTAATGATAATTATCATTGTGTATGCTTACATGCTTTAAGTTTTATGCACAATATTGGTATATAATATATAGTCTATAGTATATAGCCTAAGCTATAGAGTATTAAGGTCTATAAGCCTAAATATAACAGCAGCTTGAATAATGCTCATTATCATGCATTCACTATAAACTATAAAGATACTCAAATATTTCAATTTAATTAAATTATAACTAATAGGCCTAATAGTAAATAGGCTTTTTTCTTGTGGCAACAAATTTAAAGTATAGGGCAGTACAGTTATAGTATAGGCCTACTAGATTCTATATTTAAGTATGTGGGCTTTTCATTCCAATGCACCACAATAGATACCCCACATGATCAAGCTGGACCTCTGATCTAAAGATTTAATAATTGGGCCTAACAAACAGTGAAACTACAATAAAAATCATGTAAATTACTAATTTAACCTTCTTACCTCCGCTTCTCTAGAACTAGATTCCTATTCTATTTCCTTCAAACTTTCTTTTTATGCAGCCGTATGATTAGATTCTAGACTATAATCTAATAAACATGAAATAACTACTAACCAGAACACTAGATCTAAATTTCTATATTCTATGCAATATGTATTAAACCTATAGGCCTAATATTTATTTTAAATTCCTATGCGATGTGTCGTGAACTGTAGGTTTCATGTTACTTTTTTTAATGGCGGAAATCAGGTTAAAATTTCGTTTCCTTCCTTTTGTTATTCTATTTATAGATTCAAACTGCTTAGAGACGGAGCAATTATCATTGAGTTAGTTGGCTGATCCATACAGGAAGTGCGGGTATATCTATTTGTTACTCAGTGATCCGATCATTGACAGATACAGAGATAGCCATTCGCATGGGGTGCTCTCTCTCTCTCTCTCTCTCTCTCTCTCTCTCTCTCTCTCTCTCTCTCCGCAACCACCCCATGCGAATGGCTATCTCTGATTCTGTCATTGATCGGATCACTGAGTGACTCATTGATATAATAGCACTTCCTGTGTAGATCACATGACTAATTCAATGATCATAAGCCTATATAATTCGACTCCGACTCGGGGTATTTTAAATCTATAATCAGGAGCAACGAACGAAATTTCATCCTAATTTCCGCCATTTTGAAAAAAACAATTTAGCCTACATCTCACTACAAATCGCACAGGAATTAAAAACTTTTCTTTGATTTAACACAGATCCACTAGGCTACTCTGTGTAGTAATTACCGCATTTACATTAGTAGTAGCCTGTCTAATAAAATATAGCCTAATCCAAATAATGCCGCCTAAAAGAATGTTTGAAAAATATAGGGCATAGGGCCCTACAGAAGAGGAGGTAGGACATTTTAATTAATTAGAATATTTAGGCCCTTAAGAATACTATTGCAATTTAATTGATTAGTTACTAGAGAGTAGAGGAAAGTTTACTTGCTTTATATTTGCAAAGTGACTACTTGGAAGAAGATTTTTACTCCCCCCCACCGCTATCTCGCCAGCAGAATGATGCAAAATGCAATTAGTCTACCTAAATTTGGCTAAATAGTTGGGCTATGGACTTGATTTATTCTATTGTAGCAGCACCATGGGATCAAAATACGCTTTTAGCCTTATTACTCTGACAAAACTATCTGTACAGTCTGGTCGAGCAGTTGCACTTTAGAAGCGTAGTTAAAGTATAGTAGGCCTATACTATAACTGCCCTATAGGCCCTACTTTAAATTTGTTACCGCAAGAAAAAGGCCTATTTTACTATTTACTTAATTTACTATTACTAGTTAGAATTAAATTGAATTGAAATATTTGTTTATCTTTAAAGTTTATAGTGAATGCATGATAATGAGCATTATTCAAGCTGCTGTTATATTTAGGCTTATAGACCTTAATAGTATACTCTATACTCTATAGCTTAGACTATATACTATAGACTATATATTATATACCAATATTGTGGATAAAACTTAAAGCATGTAAGCATACACAATAATAATATTCATTAGACCTATAGTAACTAAGACTCGTACTATTTAGTACTACTTTAATACTACCTTTAAACTATTAGGCATAATGAAATAATGATTAGGCCTAATAATTTCAGTGTTTTCCGCACTCAAGAGGAAAGAGGCTGTAGGGAACTTAGAGACTAAACCTTACCAACATACTGGATTTCTGGTGATGATAATAGCAACAGATAGTATGCTGCTCAGTTAATACTAAAAACAATTGATTTTAATAATTAGTGGTAACCTCTTTTTTTAAATAATATATTATAACATGGTATCGCAAAGGTTCAGGTTTTCCAATAAATGGTAATTAGAGTCAGGGTTAGAAAGACATAGAAATTGAAATAAATAGAATTTAATGTGTTCATTCCCAAAGTTACTATTTAAAATTTTTTAGTCCTGCTTTTTACAGCTGAATAATAAAATCACTATACTTATCCACTATATTATGTTTAAATAAAGTGAGTTTAGATCAGTCGAGTAAATAAAATAAATTTAATAACAAGACATAGGCCTAACTAAAATTTACAATGAATATATATATATATATATATTTATATATATATATATATATATATATATATATATATATATATATATATATATATATATTTATTTATTTATTTATTTATTTATTTATTTATTTATTTAATTTGATTGCTATTTTATTAAAGTATATAAATCACAGAACAAACATTACTTTGTGTTGTGTCTACAACTTAACAAAAATACTACTACTTTGATGGATTGCACTAAATAGGGGTTAGCTTTAATAATTGGTGAGATATTCTTGCTAATCTATGTGTAAATTGCTTTTCAGGACTATGAGTGTGTGTTTGGCCATCCAGATTTCATAACTACAACTGATGTTCAATTACAATGGATATTAATCAGTCTCTGTGGACTATACACTGTGCCTAGCTTCATCCCCAGGTAACTGTACTGTAGGCATAATCCATTTTTAAAACGTTTTTCTTAACTCAGCTTCGCGTTTGTTTGTTTGTTTGGATGTTTGTTGTTAAAATTGACATCGAAAATTAGCCCACTTCTGATTGCTCTAGAGACCTGAAATTTGGCATGCATGCTACTTTCGCCTAACAATTTCAGATGCAATCATAAAAACTAGCAATTAGTGACCGTAATTAGCTTAATTTAATTACGCCCCAAGGACCATAAAATCGAGGACATGATTTCTAAAGATACCGACAAGACTGCAGTCCTATTGACACAGTTACTTTGGCCCCAATCGATGTGAGCGCGCTGGCCGTGATCGTATAGTGGTTAGTACTTCGCGTTGTGGCCGCGACAACCTAGGTTCGAATCCTGGTCGCTCAAGATTTTTAGTCCGTGTATTTATAAACACTTTTTTAAAAACCACGTTTTTCATGTGTAGCAACGGACTAAAAAGGAGAAAATAAAATACTTAAAAAAAAACTTTTTTAAAAACCACGTTTTTCTTGTGGACTAAAAAGTAGAAAATAACTATTTACATACATTTGATGACAAAAAACGTGGGTCGGGCAGATGGGTCGGGAAATTTGATGGTGAACGTACCCACGTTTTTTGTCACAAGAAAAACGTGGTTTTTTAAAAAGTTTTTTTTTAAGTATTTTATTTAAAGTAATTATTATAGCAAGAGATAACATTATATTTTTGTAATAAATATAATGGATTTTAAACCAAAATATTGTATTAATTATTGTCTTTTCTTAAATTCTAATAAATCAGTGAGTTGTACAACATAGCGGGTATTATATTTAAATGATAATTGAAACACATATTGTTGTAGACCTCAAAACTATGTACTTATCTAATGTAATTAATATACTTAAACAGTTTTATTGAAGCATATTATTTCATATTTTACCACACAGAGACTGATGTGTAAGCTTAAAGTAAAGACATCAAATCAAAGTATCAGCAATCAAGAGGGTAAATATTGATAGTCTACTTCATTAATCTTTTAATATGAATGAACAAAATTTTAAATCTATAATTATCTTTGCTGATCAATTTTGTTTCTTGTTATTCATCATGTTCAGTGCTTTATCTTTTGAAAGTAATTAGTTATAGTAAAGAAATAGTAGAGATAGTAATATTAATTTGTAATTTATTTCTCTTGTTAGTTCCACAAAAGAATGTATCATAATATTTTGCCTTTATTTCATTTACAGAAAAACATTCAAAATCATATTGTGATACACAAGTCAAGGAAGTCTATGACACAGGCTTATGATACAGGCCAAGAAAAAGCTGGATACTTGATTGGAAGGGTGGCACAAAAAAGATGGGTTATCACTAGGGAAACAAGCTCGGAATACAGTTCACTGTTGGGACATCAAGCCAAATACTTCTAAACTTATTTGAATCATTTTTGCTGTTTATTATAATTCATCCAATTGTCTTATAAAATATATAAATTTATATATATACACAATTCCTAATATAGAATTTCTAAAAATGTTTTATTATAATATTTAAAAATGAAACAAACATGTTCCCAGAACACAGCCACATAATGGCAACATGTTCCCAGAACACAGCCAAAATAATGTCAACATGTTCCCAGAACACACAAAATGTCATTATGTGCCCAGAAAACACAAAATGGCAACATGTTCCCAGAACACACAAAATGGCAACATGTGACGAGAAAACAAGAAATGACAACATGTGCCGAGAACAATTATCTTTACTGTGGTGGATATAGCCAATAAAATAGGGTAACCTTCATTATATGCAATTTGTAGTTTTCAATGCCTGTCCCATGCATATTATTTAGCCTAGTGTTTTGGGCCTTGCTTCATTTACTCAATAAATTATATAGGCATGAGAATTTTCATTTTAATCTGCAAAAGCTACATTCTGTACATTATTATTTTCAAACTACATCATGTATTTTTCTCTTCTCTGATAAAAAATATTCCTCATATTGTTTGTGTCAAGTATTTTATTTTTATCTATGCAATGCTATATTCTTATTTTATAATAATTACTTTTATACAAATTCTTTTGAAAACTGTTCTTTATTGATTTGTATTATTTTCTTTATTTCTGAAAAATAAAACTTTGTTTGGGAATCCTTTTTTTGTTTCTGTACAAATTAATAAACATAAATACCTACCAGGCTTAATATCCAGCAACATTAAACAGAGGCGTAGCGACCCTTCCCGGCGCCCGGTTACATACTTTCAATTTGGCGCCCCCTTGGGAGCAAATTTTCGATTTGCACCCCCCCTCGAACTTTTCATTAGCACCCCCCCCTCGAACTTTTCATTTGCACCCCCCTCAAACTTTCGATTTGCACCCCCCCTCGAACTTTTCATTTGCACCCCCCCCCCCCTCGAACTTTTCATTTGCACCCCCCCCCCCCCTCAAACTTTCGATTTGCACCCCCCCTCGAACTTTTCATTTGCACCCCCCCCCTCAAACTTTCAATTTTCCGTCTCCCCCCTAAGGTCGGCGCCCGGGGACATATGTCCCCCCCCCCCTCGCTACGCTACTGACATTAAACAATTAAGTAGGGCCTATTGTTAGTAATGGTAAATTTTATACTAATTAATGTGATTTCTATTGGCCACCTTGTTTTGAATACCTTCAACTGTGTCAATGTTGCTACCAACTCCAATTATTAAAACTGAAGCCATTTACTATGAAGTAAAACTTGGGTGTAATCCAAATCCACCCAGTTGTCGGGGGCAAGGTACCAAACATGATGTCCAGTAGAGGGTTAAGAAAGTATCATTATTAAATCACTATTAAACCCCTCCTCGCCTACGCCATTGCTTGTATGCATATGGACGTTATCGGAATTTACTGTATTGCTTATATTAAGTCGAACATGCGAAAAAGACACGTTTAACATTACTAGTTTGAAGAATAACATTCATGTTAGCCGAAACAGGTGTATTCTAAAGTTGTTTAAATTCTTTTTATAGTTCATTACGATTATGTTGTCGTAAAATATAGGCCTATTTTAAAAAAGCATAACTAAAAAGTGTTTTAACGCATTTTCTTCTTAGAAAAGCCTCACATGCATGATATCATTAACATTACGGCAAATCAAACCCTTGAAGAAGCCCCATCAACCATTCAATTATTTCGATGGGCAACAAATAAAACGCCCGCATCAAGGTACAGTCCTTATGCTATCGACATTAGCTCAACCCCGGCAACTAACGTGTCCCAAAACCAAGAAGTGAAATCTTGACCCATTATTCTGATTAAGTAGTGGTTAAACATCTGAAAACGTTAGTTTTTAATCTAGTGTACTCAAAAAGGAACAACATAAAGCTTTATGCCGCCTTAAAAACCCAATCCCATGTTACGCAAGGCGTCGATAGAGAAAGAATAAGGCTTTGAGTCAGAACAGGCAAAGGCTTAGATAACTGTGAAAATACATAATCTGTAGACCTCACAAGTCTAGACGATATATTTGTGCCTCTGTTTTTAGACTTTCAGAACAAATACATGTGATGTGGTCAGTAGGCACGTAAAAGAGAAAAGTAGTTTTAATCTAGAGACTTCACACATTTCTGAAGGACCGAATTTGAACTTGTAGGCCGTGGTGTCGATGCCAAAGTTTAGCGTCGTCCGCAAAGATAAGCTATCGTTACATCATCTCTATGCCCATATTGTGACAGATATTTACAAATGTGTCTAATATAGGACAGAATACATAGCTACTCAACAGCGATAAGCGCAATCACTTGTCCACGACTTAAGAAACCACTGTACTGCAAAACCCACCTAAATGGAAAATGTCTTAGATGTGTGTTTTAATACAAATGTGTACCTCGTCGCGAGTTAGGACCTGTAGGTAGTCTGTTACTACTCTATATCTAAAAACAATAAAAAGATAACGTGAATTTTACTTGTTCAATTTCTTGGTTAACTTTATTTGTTGCATCTTGTTCAATTTTGTTAATATTGATTAACCTAAAGGGTTCAAATGTAACAAAGAAAATTGTGACTAAGTTTCCGGGTGCGGGTATGCGGACACTAGTTAAAGTAGGCCCTATATATCTATTTATATTTATAGAAATGAAAGTGTTTATCTGTTTGTCCTATATGAATTACTACATCTTTTTCATCGGATCGCCATAAAACTTTGTGAACAGAGTTTTTTCCAGGAATCTATTCGGAGGGGGGGGGGGGGGGGGGGGGGAAGCAGAGCCCCCCACCCCCCGAAGAAAGTCTATTGACCCCCCACCCCCGAACGAAACGGAATTTATATAGAAAAAAAATATACTTTTTACAGTGTCCGCACGCTCCCCCCCCCCCGGAAAGATTTCGCCAGGGCGGATCCCTAGCAGGAAGCAGAGACGTAGCAACCTATTCCGGCGCCCGGGGCGAACTATCAATTATGTGCCAACCCTATACAAACGCTGGCAAAAAGGCGCCCCTCCCTACATACACTCCCCTATATAAAATAATTGAGGATATCAGTCATGTATAAATCTGTTTTCTTAAATTTTACTGATGAATGAGGATTTAAAAAAAATTGTCTAGACTACCCCTTTTGGCGCCCCAATCGATCTGGGGTCTCTGACAGGAAGCAATGCAATTTTTCTCCATAAAAATAAAAGCCAGATGCAATTTGACACTGTTCGTACGAGAGTCATAAAATATTGGGGAGTTGTTGAAAAGGGTTTCGAGAAAAAAAAAATTCTTAAGTGTGGCACCCTGGGAGGGTTCGATTTTTCTCATTATACGATTATGAGCTCAGAATCCAGAGGGGAATCCAGAGGGGCTATCTCATCAATTGCGGTCATAGGTAATACTAGATTCAGCAGAGGCGCAGCGAGGGGGGCGGGGGTACATATATCCCCGGGCGCCAACCCTAGGGGCGCCAAAATGGTTGGAAAAATGTAAAAGCTCATTTTAGCTATAGTTTTGCATTATAAATATTTAAAAAATACGGGGAGGGGGCGCCAAATTGAAAGTTTGTCTCCGGCGGGAGGGGGGGGGGCGCCAAATTGAAAATTTGTCCCCAGGCGCCAGGAATGGTGCTACGCCTCTGAGATTCAGTGATAAAACTACACCAGGTTCATCCGCCAGCTCCCCGGCGGTTGAGTGGCCCAGAGCGGCCAAGACCCATCTCGGGCGACACTACGGTTTAGATGGGCTACTATAAATGTTCACTAAGTAGAATAATGAGCGCCCGCCGGCGCCCTGGCAGTTGGTGACAGCGAGCGCCCCGGGCTCTACAGAGAGTGCCTCCTTAAAGAGCACCCTACAATAGGGACACGGTGGCACACGACATTTTATAATTAAACCGAATTAGGGGCGCCCCTGCGGAAATATAACCAGTGGCTCCCTGAAGCGCCAAGGGACGCGTCTCTAACACATGGGCGGTCGCCAATGTGTGTTCTACCTCACTATTACAGAGGTTGATTAACGTACACTCAAGGCTTTCATACAGTGAGCCTTGGTGCGTCTAGGCGGCAGTGTGGACAAACCCGCGCCCCAAAAACGAATATGTGGGTTTGTTTGTTTAAGCATTATCAAAGATTTCATTCGTTTGTCATTCAAATTTGAGAAGTTAATGCTAATACCCCTGTGGTGGTTTCTACGAAAAAAAATTCGATTTGGTGGCGCCCTGGCAGGGTTCCATTTAGCTCCCCGGGTTTTCCCGTGAGTACTATGGTACCTTTGTTCGTTTTAATAATTGCGAAACGCTATGAATATGATGGGCTACTATAATCGCTCACTATACCGAGTGAGGCGCCTTCCTACCTACGCCCACCTACCTACATACCTAACTCCCTGCCTACGTACCTACCTATCTACTAACCTGCCTGCGCTGCTGCCTGCCTACCTACTTTCCTACCTACCGTTATTCCTGCCAAACTGCTTTCCTTCTACCCCGCCTGTCTACACACCTCACATCCTACTTACACACACATATCTTCGTATGTATATATGTGTGTGTTAGTGTGCTCTAGGACTATGTATTTTTACATTTTTGTTGTTACGTAGAACTATTCAATATAAAGGAGTTTCCTTTTTTTTTAACGTTGTAACTGCCGCTAAAATATTCTTTTTTGTATGTGTGCATAAAATAGTGTAGGTTTATTAACAAAAGTAAATTTTAGTATGTATTTAAGTGTATATAATCATTTTCGTCAAGCCAATGTGTTCATAATCTTAAATTTAAAAACCCATGAAACTCGATAGCCAAAGATTTAGAATGAGAATAATTGCTATTTAACCAGTAACACCTATTCTAATTATTGTAATAATATTTTTTTTAAATAAATATACACAAAGATAGATTGTTTTCTTATATAATTTATGTAAAAAGTCAACTGTATTTCATAACGAAAATTAACACAAAATACATTCGAATAGAAACTGTCAAGGGAGACTACTCTAATATTTGTAGGGATAATAGTTTTTATTTAGAGTTTTTTTTATTATTAGAAGAAAAGTTAATCATGTAGGTTCTATAAAAGATTACCTTGCATTTAAAAAAAGATATTCGATAGGTTTAGAATGAAAAATAGTCAAAATTATTTATTATATTCATTAGTTGTTGTTTTTTAATAATATAGTACAAAGACCTGTTTTAATTATTTTTTAAAAATCTTATTTTAATTAATAAATTATAAATGAAGATCGAGGATCTATATTTAAAAAAAAATAGTTTAACTGTCCCTAAACAATTGTATCAATCGCTGAGAAATTAAGAATTAATAATTACGTTTAACGCTTTATTAATTAAACGAGTTGAATTATTTCCGTTTTGATAAACTCTCTCTCTCTTTATAACTACTAACGCTTTATCATTGAGTTTCTTAAGAGAAAAATACAGGAGAGCGGTAGTTATCATTGACTCTGTCATTGATAATTTCATTGAGTCTTTCATAGAAAATAGTGTTTGATCGGCTGCCGCAACATATCGATTGGATCAGAATGTTCAGCGATATACGGAGAACTAATTATAATTAAAGATACGGACTATTGTAGAAAATAATATGCTTGATGTTTTAAATCTGTAAACTAAATTTTATGTAAAGAAGGAGAATAAGAATAAAGGTTAGTGTTAACAATAGTTTAGCTATTCTGTCTGACTGTCCGTCGGGAACGCTCTAGAGAAAACACAAGTAAGATAAACTTCCCACGACCGTGACCAGTGTTTCTTCCAGACTTTTTTCTCCGGGGGGGGGGGGGAGGGAGGGAGAACGACACACACTGTTAAAAGTATATATTTTCTATATAAATTATATAAATTTCATTTCGTTCGGGTAGATCAGGGGTCTCCAAACTTTTCAGCCCGAGGCCGCATTAACTATAAAAAAAATCAGCTCAAGGGCCAGAGTTTTTTCAGTCATCTCTTCGGGGTGGTAGAGCGCCCCCCCCCCCCCCCCTCGAAGAATATCTACTCCCCCCCCCCCACGAAATATATAAATATATAAAATATAGAAATATATACAAATATAGAAATATATACAAATATATAATACAAAGTGTCGCCGTCAACTCCCGCACTCGGAGGAAAAAAATCTGAAAGAAACACTCTCGGGGGCCGACAACACACTCCAGGTCCAAGTTTGTTCTCAAATTGTTCTTCACGTATTTATTCTTGAAAATGTACGTTCACACAGGTATGTTGTCCCGAAATTTGAAGGTACTTTGATGCAAAAGTTTTAGGAAAGTCCTCCTGGGCCAAAAACGCATATAAAGCCGCCCGTCCTTCTTTGAGCTAGTCTCTACGGAGGTCGTTTGCTTGCAATGCAATGACCTCCACCTGCAGTTCATCTGGCCAACTGGCCACATTTGCTTCAAATGGGTTTTGAAACAGTCTCACTTCTTCTGCCTTTGAATCCAAGTCAGAAAACCGCTACTGGAACGGCAGCTGGGTTTTTTTTGATGATCTTGCATGCAAATGACTTGGGGGGGGGGGGGGGAGCTGTAGCTTCAGCCATGAAGACCTTGCAGTGCTGCAAGTGCGTCAAGTTGTTGGCATGTACTTGTTCCAAAAACTTGACAAGTTTGGATCTGAAGGCCTTTAGGTGGGTGTATAGATCAGAAACTAAATTTACCTCTCTTGTTTTTTTAGGTTCAGAAAATTTATATGTCGTGTTATGTCTGCAGCATAGGCCAATTTCTATACTTTTCTTCAGACATTAATGGCAGTGGCTTGCTTTCTTTTCTAGAAAGTCACCTATTTCCTTTCTTAACTTAAATACTCTGCTCAGAACAGAGGCGTATCCAGGTTTTCGTTGTAGGGGGAGCGAAAAGAGCAAAAAAAGCGCCGAATTTTTAACACGTTCTATATACGTGTATTTTATATATATATATATATATATATATATATATATATATATATATATATATATATATATATATATATATATATATATATATATATATATATTAGCTGTATGTTGTTGCTTCGCTATGATGTAAAATAAATTGAAAGTAGCACTCTGAAGAAATTTAAAAAACATACACATTGTAGGCCGAGAAAACAAAAAAATGTAGGCTGGCAAAACAAAAAAAATCACTCTAAACAAAAGACAAATATACACACACTACAACCAAAAACAATGAACGCAACATAATCTGTTTTGTAATCCTTGTAAAACAAATTACATAATAATTCTTGGGACATCAAGACTAGCGAAAAGGGGAAATAATCACTCTTTTAATATAAATATGTATATGTCTACACATTTAATTATAAATATCAAAACAACTCAATAATTACTTAATAATCTAATAAAGTAGCTTAACGCTATTCGGTTTTACAAAAATATTTTGTCTACAATCAGAATTAAATATATTGTTATTATAAATGCTAAAGTATTACAGCATAATGAAAGTTTTTTTTTAATAAGAGTTGGTATAAAACCCAGCTTTTCAGATTACAAGTAAAAAATCCTGATAAATAGCCTACAGATAACCAATATATAGGACTTGCATTTCAGATCATACATGTAAAGTAATCAATCGATTTTTTGTGTTCTTTAAAGATCATTTTTTTAACATAATGATAAGTGGTTCAATGGAGATGGACGGCGAACCGTCAAGGCATAAAACACCATTGGCGTTGGACAAACAGACCGCACTTTGTAACACTGTTATCTGACCGGTAGGGTGATCAATAGCTACTCACACGGTCAAGCGGTCAGTTAAATGATGGAGGGTGAACTTGGTGTCGAGAAAGGGGTAGGGGGGGGGATAAAAAAAAGTCACGCGACACTAAACATACTTTTATGGGTACAAAAGTGGTACTACAATAGAGGTTTTTTAAACATTGCAATGCATCTTAATGGTTATTTTTAGAATGGCAAACTGATGCAGCTGTTAATACGTGTTGTAAACGTAGACACTACTAGACTAGTACAATAATGCTTTATTGCTGCATGAAAAGAAATCTTGTGATTTACATAGATGTGCCGACCAAAAATATTTTTTAAACAAATATCATTGTTTAAAACTTTGAGTTTCCAAAAAGGCGCCACTTTGCTGACAATGGCCAGAGGGGGAGCGGCCGCTCCCCCTGCTCCCCCCCTGCGTACGCTACTGGCTCAGAACTTTCTAACAACTTAGCCATCTTACTGGTAAATCTTGCGATTCTGTGTTTGTATCTTTCAACATGTCTCTGAAATATATATGGTTGAGTCCATATGAATATGTGACCTTTATAATTCACCATCTCCAACACATGATTCAGTACACTGTTTTTGTCCGCATATTAAGCACACAAAGCTTGCTTGTGAATAAATAATACAGTGCAGGTACATTGATTGTAGAATGTTTTTCTCATTACACATCTACTTCGCTTGTCCAGCCAAGCCTTTCTTTATGCCCTTCTTGTTTTTACCTCCACCAACATTAAGGTAACAGGTTAGTCCGGACTAAGTTATAATCAGTGCTTCTTTTTCAACTCATTGAATATATCATCTCCGGTAACAGTGTCATACATGCTATTTAAGGAAGCCAGCTCTTTTGTTATGTTCTTGTCTTCATCCACACCCCTAATAAACACAAGAAGTTGAGAAGTGGAACAGCTGTCCAGCGACTCATCCATTGCAATTGAAAAATTGCAAAACTTGCTTGCATTTTTCGCTATTTAAGCCACAACGTTTTCACCAATGTCTGTAACACGGTGGGCAACGGTAGTTGCACCCAAAGCTATATTTTCAAATTGTTTTGAATTTTCTGGGCAAAGTTCCTCAGCCACCTCTAATAAACATTTTTTTTCCGTGGATAAAAATATCTCCGCGGGCCGGATGAGAGGACCTCGCGGGCCGCATACGGCCCGCAGTTTGGAGACCCCTGGGGTAGATGCATGGAAGAAACTCTGACCGTGACGTAACATGGTACTTATCGGAAATATTCTCAAGCCGCAAAAGTACACACAATAAAATGACGTCATTGATTCTGAAGTAAATAGAATTAAAAAGCCCATGCTGAAAAAATACACAATAATGACGTCACCGATACACTAAAATTACGGTAAACGGAAAAAAAGTCACAGGAAAAAACACACAGAAAAAAGTCAGTTTTTGCTAGGAAAAAAAGTCACAGAAAAATAGTCACAGTGGAAAAATTTTATCGGAAAAAAAGTCACAGAAATAAAGTCACAGAAAAAAAGTCACAAAAATCTTTTTAGAAATATTTTTATTAATTTGTTAAGAATTTTAAAATTTTGTATGTTTATTGTTGTGGGTTGTATTTTTTGATAGCATAAATTATTTATAGACGTTAAAAGCATAATGATTTATAACAATTGTAAGTAAAAATACTCTAAGATAATTTACACAACAATCTCAACTTGTTACGTATTTATTTAAATACGCGGTAGAAAAGTTAATTATAAAAGAAATTTAGGCAAATTTTGCCGTAGGCTATTCTCTGGTCGGCCTCTCCTCAGTAGGCATTGTCCGAACATATTTTGTGTTGTTGACGTTACGCGTCAATGACAGCCTTTGAACCTTGTCGGCTTTCTGTTTTGATCCTAAGTTTTGTTATGTAATGAGCGTGATAAATGTGGGCAGTAAAGGTGGTTGAACTAAACATAACTATTGTTGCCATGAGTTGAGGGCAGAAAGTCAGATGAACTTACCATTTCACGGTAATTTAATATTGGTATTTAAAAAAAAAACACGATGAAAACCGTGGACTTTGGAGCATTCTATTAAATGCTACTAATCTTAAGTTTAAAATAATTACAATCTACATACTTCATAATAAATATTTTAAGATGGATTATAAAAATTCCTATGCGTATACAGCCTACACACATTACATTACATTAATCCTAAGTTAATTTGCACTCTCTAAATATTTAATACATAAAAGTATTAACAAATATCATGCAAATATATATTTGTGACTTTTTTTCCTGTGACTTTTTTTCTGTGTTTTTTTTTCTTGTGTTTTTTTTTCCTGTGACTTTTTTTCCTACAATCAAAATTACAACACACATCTTAGAAACGTTTTATTTCCCAAAATTAAACTTTTTACCCCCCCCCCCCTAAAAAACAACATTGATTTGAATAAAAACATTATCTGACATTCACATGTCAAAGTTCCAGGCTATCCAGACTGCATACGGACTTTGTAGCCTACTTAGTATAAAATTAAAAAACAAACATCTATCAAGACATGTAAATCTACATCTGTTTATTCATATCTAAATTATGCTTCATAGCACTAATTTCACATTTAAAGTGTGCTCTTGTGCTCAGCAATATTATAAACACATTTTAACTAAGGCATTTCAAATTTACACAATACAAGTAAATACAAATATTTCTGGAACCATTATGAGGCGTGCTCATACATATGTGGGCACCTATTAAAATTTTCACAAACATAGGAAACAACATTTTTTTAAAAGTTTAAAACAAACTAAAACTACAAAATTAACTAAAACCAAGTTTAAAACTATATTTGGTGTTAAAATAGATAATAGCATTAGTGAAAAAGTATACAACTGTAAAACATATATACATATCTATTCATCTCTGCATATCAAAGAATACACTCCTTGGTGAATCCTTTTTATATGAAATAGAAACGTATTATAGTTATAGGCTAACTATTGCAGTTATAAAAAAAAAACTAATCAGTAATCTGGATCTTTTCTATCTCTCTTCTTGTTTGTGCAAAGTCACATGGGGCAGTTCTGTTTCAATGACCTAGGAATACAATTTACAAGTGTGTTCATAGCAATGCCCAGCCACCTTAGTTTCCCTAAAAAGAGTAAGATACCCTTTATAGCTGAGTGTATTTAGAGATGTCATATAGACTTCAGCATAAGATTCAAAATCAAGACTTAGCAATAGTGAGACTCACAATCCAACCTCTATTTTCTATTTTTCCTCCATTTATTTTTATACGTGTAGGCGCCTATGTAGAATATACATACAAGTATAGTAACAAAATTTAAAGTGATTTGTTCAAAATTTTATTGACACAGTAATTATAAAGTGAAAAATATTTTATCAATGCAAATATACTTTTATAATTTTCTTAACTTTGTGATGATATATATATATATATATATATATATATATATATATATATATATATATATATATATATATATCGTTAGAAATATTCACATAATTGCATTGTACATTTCACAAACTACTGGTAAGGGGTCGTCCATAAATGACATCACTCGTATTGGGGAGGGGTCCATAATTTTGTGACGGTGTGTGATGAGGGGTTCAGATGGTGCGACGTCAAACTTTTGCATTATAAAAAAGCAATGTTAGAAATCGAATTTGGACGTTATTTCGCATTTCAGAAAACTGTGTTAATAAATTGTATAAATGAGTTCAGACAAGATTCTGGAAAAATATCGCTGTTTAAAAAGATATTCAACTGCAAATTTGAGGGGGGTTGTAGGCTGAGGTGTGACGTCATTTTAGGGGGGGAGGGGGTTGTCTGGCTTTTTGTGACAGAATGGAGGGGGAGGTAAAAATCTTCAACAAAAGCGTGACGTCATTTATGGATGACCCCTATTTAACAACTTAAATAGTTGGTAAAGTAAAATGAATACTATGATAATAACATTTAAAAAATTATATAATTTAAACATGAGAAAAACATCTACTTAGAATTTTGCTTTAATAAAATAAATTTATAATTCAAACACGTTTGTAAAGTTGTATAATTATTAAATTGGGCTCTCTTTTCCTTTACATAAATATATATTTATAATATATATATATATATAGTAACTAAAATAGTATTAAGTTACTTATGGAGTGTAAAGAAAAATATAAATTTAGTATAAAAAAAGTATATCAAGTATAAAAACATTTTATTGACAAATGTATTAATGAATTCTAAATGTTAATTATATTAATGAATTCTGAATGTTACACATTTATCAACCTGTAACAAAATACAATTTTACCCAGTTAATAGACAGTAAAAATTAAAAATTGTGTTTTAGAGAAAGTGTTTAAGAGTGCAGGGCAGTTAAATAACTTTTCTTTAGATTTCTTTTTCTTAGAACACTAAGCTTATCATACATACAAATAATCAATTCATGCAGATATGTTAAATTTGAGATACAATGGAGGTATAGACACAGATATTTAATTAAATTATGACTTGCTTGATCGCCTAAGCCATGTAACAATGGGAAAAATGTAAGTATATTTGCAGTAAGCGTAGCCCAATATAAAGATAAGCTGCTACACCTGTAATAGCTTAAATATCAGTGGCAGACAGAGGTCAAATTAAAATAGCTGTTAAGCTTGATCAAAGTAATAAGTCCTAACTACAATACACAAAATGCAAGGAGTTACAATAAGTATCTTACACAAAGGTCTTTCTAAAATGGTTTTTAATGCACAATAACAAACAATATACTAAAGAGTAAGAGAATCTTTATGGTTTGTTATTTTTTTTTTTCAAACTTTTTTTTGTACAATTTTGATTTGCAATATATAAATACCTGTGCATTAATTTTTAATAAGAATGAAAAGGGTACAAAAACTGGCCTGTATGTATTAAGTTCTAGCATTGCGATTTACTTTGTCATAAATTTCTGGAAAAGCCTTCTCACAAGCGAGCATTTTTCTCATCTTATCATAAAGACTGTGATCAAACATGCTACGAAACTGATCTCGACTGAGATATGAGTCTGCATACAACATCTGAAATCTGTGGATATTTTTATTATTTTTACAAAAACTGCAGTAAAATTATTAATTACCCATATACTAAAACTGTTATCATCATTAAAATTTTTTTTAGCCCGTACCCTAATTCAGTCAACTTTAATCACATGATGTTAGCTTTTAGACATTAAGAATTGAAATACCACTGTATATTTTTAAAAAGTAATCAATCAGCATAGTTACCCATTAATTTTACCAACAAAGTCTTCCAGTCTTTTAGTTGATGGTATAGTTGAAAAACCTTTAGCTTTAGGTGTACCATAAGCTCCGATATCTATATACATTTCATCTTGATGATGTTTGGGATGAACTAAGCCAGGTTGGTCCAACAATTTAAATGGACAAATCCATAAAGGGTAAAGCTTAAATAATAATTTTTAAAAAACTTGAAAGTTAGGTTCTCTAAAAATCAATTTTGAAAAGCTTAAAATTAATTAATGCAATTTAAACATTTCTAAATTCTTTATTGATTTTAAAAATGTTTTATTCTTATCAAGTGGAATCAAGAGAAATATACAGCCTATACTTACATCTAGCTCCTTATCAAAGAAATCTAAGCTCTTTCCAAGATCTTTCAATGGGACCAGCATGTCTTGTATTACTTGATATTTTTCATACATGTTTTTTATTGTCTCACCTTGAGTAAGTTTGAGAAGAGATACTTTAGGTGGTACCATCCAGCCAAAACTTGCTCTGAATATTGGATTATTTCCAAATGGAATAATATCCTACAAGAATATATAAATATATACATATATAATGGGTATATATACATATACATACATATATACATTTATGTATACACATATATATACATACATATATACACATATGATATATTCACACACATATATATATCAGATCTCTCAGATATAAATCAGTTACCATTTTGCCATTTTGTTTTTACGAGAATCTTTTTTGACATTTTAATATGCTATTCACTAAACTCTATACTGAAACATAAAAAGTCCACTGTCTTTAAAACTAATTACTATGGCACTTGAAATTATTTTTTTTTTTTAAAAACTGATTTTGACTTGATGCTTTATAGCCATTGCCACAAGATAATAATATAAAAAAACTTGTCTGCATATGCAACAATATTTTATTCAGGCACTGTGACTTTTTTTTAAAAAACAAATACAGCAGCCATTTGTAAAAAAAATTTTTAATTAAATGCACTTTAAAAATTGTAGTGGTGAAATAACATGTAAACTATAAAAAGAAATTAATGATAAACAACATTAAAAGTAAATAAAAGTCAAGTAGAGAAAAAGAACTAGGAGAATGAGAAACAATGTGATTAGTAAACTTGGTGAGTTGATCAATTTTTTAAGTTAATTAATTTGAATCTTTTTCAAATATATTGATTTATATATATATATATTTTTACATAGCTTCTACATCTTATCTCCAAATCTGAATTAAGCTTTAAAAAAAATATACACAACAATGAGCTTTTAGTGCACTGAAAAAAGAAAATAAACCTGCTTTCTTTACTAAAAGCATTGGTCATTCAAATAAGTAAAGGATTTAATGAGCAACAAATGTTTCTTGAAAGTTTGAACGAAAATGCTACATCTACACTACATTAGAATATTTAGAAGTGGGTTTAAAAATTAGATTTCCTGCAAAACCACAAACAGACTGTAATTAAACATGAATAAAAGCTTATAACAAGAGCTAATAATTAATACTAGCATATTTGTTTCATAAATGCTTGCTTCTTACCTCCAGCATCCAAAAGATGCTTTTTGTATGTCGATGGTAATAGTGTCTTAAAGGAATATATTCAATACAGGTTCCAGTTTTAAGAAATGTCTCTACATGTTTGTAAAACCATGGTTTCCAAAAGTTTCCAATGGGATTAATCTACAATATTCAATATTAAAAAAAAATTATGATACAATAATGGTTGTTTGAAATCATGAGTTCTAATGATCAATATTGGATATTATTAAGTACAATAAACTGAGTGAACTAAACATTTATGTACTTAAGATTTATACAATACTTTAAGTGCTTTAATGCTATTTTAACCTATTTTCTGGGGAGGGGTGGATACTGGTAAAAATATTAATCTTCTATATAAATGCTATTTCGTTGAAGGGGGCCGGAAGACATAAGACATACTTCGGGGTGGGTGGAGGCAACCCCCCCTCCTACTTATAGTCTAAATGTGACTTTTGTCAAGTTTGGGCTTATGTGCAAGGTTTAGGGTTATGACTTCGACTATATTAAGTATTAATTTGCAGTAACAACATGCAGGTTAAGATTTAATCTGATTAAAATGCCAATTCTGGATAAAAATAAGTTTTCTATAATATTTTTCTCTTTCTGGTTAAATTTAAAGTTGAGACAGTGATTTTGGCATTGGTTTGGAGACAAAAAGAACACTATCAACCTAGCTCCTGTTGTATTTCTCCCTCAACCGCCATTTATCTCATACATGGATGTACTTAAATAAAGACAGCATAATCGGTTTAAAAACATCTCAATTTTTTCTGTCTGTTGCATACACAATTAATACTTAAAGTTAAGATTTAGTTTCATTCATTTATAAGTATATTTTACCATATCAGGCTCAGCATCATCAGTCATATTTCCAACCATAAAAACAGATTTTTCACTGGAATAGACTAATGCTTCAACAAACTGATTGTTGGAACAAGTGTTTTCCATGAATAGATGAACTAGCTCCTGCTGGCTGTGCACTGGGTGATACTCCATTTTGACATACTTTTTAGCAGGAACAATTTTTATTTCAGCAGAAACTAAAAATCCCAATGTTCCATGAGACCAAGGTACAGCATAAAATAGATCTGCATTCTCATCCTAGAAAAAAATAAAAATATCAGCCAATTTGTTTTTACAGGAATCTCTTTTGACATTTTAATATGCAATTCTCTATAGTGAAATATAAAAAGTCCATTGTCTTTAAAACTAATATTTGCACTAGTGGCAAATAAATTCGAATACTTTTATGGGTCCTATGGAAGAAAAATACCATGCTATTTCTTTACAAACAGCAATTCAGTCTTAAAATAGGGCTTTTTTTAAAGTAGCTATCTCAAGAACTCATGATTCTAAGATGGTGGGTACTTAATTTGTTCATATATCTCAAGTAGTAAAAAACTTATGTTTTTAAAGTTTGTTTTTAACTTTTTTTTTCAACACCCTAAAAGGTGCCATGTTTGAGAGTTTATATCTGTCAAAGTATATGACTAAAAGTCAATCTTTTGAACTCAACAAAAAAACTCAGAGAAAAGACTCAAACCTAAAAAAATAAGTACATCATTTAAATTAATTGCAATGAAATTGGCTTTTCTCACTTTTTGATAACATTAAAAAGGGAAGTAAAACAAGTTAATAAAAAGTCTAGTGACAATTTAAGCGCAATTTCCTTATGTTATCCATAACAATTTTTAATTTTTTGTAACAGAGCGCTAAAAACCTACACGATGCTCAGTTTAAATTAAAAATATCATCCTAGACCTACACGATGCTCAGTTTAAAAATTCTTAATTAATTTTTTGTGACCAAACGAAAGGATATTTTTGAAAACTTTCTTCGGCAATATTGTTCTAAATTATGGCAGGAATTGGTTGGTAAATGTTTCAAGTCGCTAAGTGGTCTGGTTGAAGAGATATGGGCCAAAAACTGCATTTTTTCGAGGTTTTTTGGCTTTTCCGGGAAATCCAGGAAGGAATTCCGGGAATTTTTTTGGCCCACAATCATCCTCGGAACTTGCTTAACATATTTGCTTTTGGAACTAGTCCTAGATATTGCTTCGTTGAGGAGGAGATACGACTTAAAGCTGCGGACACACATCCATTCATTCATCCATCCAGAAATGACGAGTTAATAATTGCAATTGTCCAGTATGGAAATTGCGCTAAAAACACACAATTTGTACATTTAAAAAAAATCCCATTAAAAAATGTCTGATGAAAGAGCATACTTGTTAAGTATATCAAAATGTAGGGGAACAAAGCCTTTGAATCTAAGTAACCTGTATGATACGACTATAACATGCAGGTTTGAAACACATTAAATCAGACAGGTGCAGGGGTTCATCACAATCTGTCAAAAATGCTTCTTTTTTAAAAAAATGACACATAGTAATCTGGCTATATCAAAATACAGAATTACCATAGCTCTTCACAGGTAAGCAGTCTGTAACTTATTTATATGCAATTCAATGGTCCCATAAAGAAAATATTTCGTGTCAAAATAATTAATGGCGCTAGAACCAGTAATGTATTTATTTTAAAAGTAAAAACATTTATTTAATATGCCTCAGTCAGTGTACCTATCTATCCTTATACATAAAAGCCCATGTGCGCACTTCTCTCTCACTATCCGCAACATTTTTAGGCTATGTGATTATCCACAACATTTTTAGGCTATGTGATTAGTAAGTTCAACAATATATGGAGAATATATGGAGATACAAACTTTTGTTGAAATTAATATGGGGAATGTATAAACTAAATTTTATCTACAGAAGCAAAATGAAAGCATATTCGAATGTAGGAACACAATTTTAATCATGCAACCGGAAAAGTTTCTGATTGTGCCAAGAACGCATAAAACAATGACGTCACATGTTTAACAATGCAGTTAACTATTATGTTATTTGGCTAATAATGTATTAAATTTGGTTTTTCTAATAGATATTGGTAGACTATGTTATTTTAAATGAGTCGGAATTTTAGCTATTTAGTTATTTCTTTGCTTTGTCACTAAAATCGTACAGAAGCACATTGCATTTTGACAAATATCAATAACTGCGTTATAAAATATTTTTCTCAAACGTGTATAACATTTTAAAAATATATAGGCCTATGATTCATGTGTAATGGGTACTGACGGCTAGTCTTCTATCTATCTATCTATCTATCTATCTATCTATCTATCTATCTATCTATCTATCTATCTATCTATCTATCTATCTATCTATCTATCTATCTATCTATCTATCTATCTATCTATCTAATCTTATCTTATCTTATATTATCTTATCCTATCTATCTATAAAAAGCAATGTATGTTTGTGTGTGTGTCTGTCTTTTATGCATTATTACACCTCTCATCACATCGCCGTGAAACTTTGGGAAGTTGTGGATATTCCTGGGGAGGTTTCTGCGGAATTTTTTTTTCCAAATTCCCAAGGGTGGCGCCCCGGTAGGGCGCAATTTGTTTTTTCTCTATATACGGTATATAAAAATAAAAGTCGATTTCAGTTTGACACCATTTACCCGATCGCCATCAAACTTTGGTGAGTTCATTAGAACACTCTGGGAAAGGGTTCTGTAAAATATCATTTTTAATTTCGCAAGGGCGACGCAACGGGAGGGTGCGATTTTTCTCTATATATGGTATATAAAAATAGTAAAAGTGAATTACAGTGACACCGTTCACACGATCGCCATGAAACTTTGGGAAGATGTTGAGAATATTCCTAGGGAGGTTTCTGCGCTAAAAACATTTTCAAATTTGCAGGGGTTGCAACCTGGCAGGGCGTGATTTGTTTTCTCTCTATATAGAGTATATAAAAATAAAAGTCGATTGCGGTCTCACAACGTTTATCCGATAGCCATCAAAATTCAGGGACTTGATTAGAGTTCTGTAAAAAGTCATCATTATTTTCGCAAAGGCAGCGCCACAGGAGGGTGCGAGTTTATCTATATACGGTGTATTAAAAATAAACGTCGATTGCGGTTTCACAGCGTTCATCCGATTGCCATCAAACTTTGGGGAGTTCATTAGTTAGAACACTCTGGGGAAGGGTTCTGTAAAAAAATAATCTTTAATTTCGCAAGGGCGGCGCCACGGGAGGGTGCGATTTTTCTCTATGTACGGTATATAAAAATAGAAGTCAATTTTGGTTTGACACCGTTCATCCGATAGCCATGAGACTTTGGGGAGTTGATTAGAACACTACCTGGAAGGTTTCTGCAAAAAAAAAATTTTTTTTAATTTCGCAAGGGCCGCGCCGCGGGAGTTCGATTTTTCTATATGTACGGTTGATACAAATAAAAGACGATTGCAGTTCGACAGTTTATCTGGGTGCCATAAAACTTTAGGGAGTTGATGATTACTCCCGATAAGGTTTTGGGGGGGGGGGGGGGGGGGGGGGGGAGAGGGGGCGGGGGTGGGGGGATTTAATTTTGTATGGGAGGCCCCCCGGCAGGATGCCATTTGGCGCCCTGTTCTTTACCGTGAGCGCTATGGCGACTACGTTGGGTCTAAACAGCATGATGGACAATGGATAGGATGTGGCGTTACAGACACTCACTAAATTGAATCAGGCGTGTCCGCCGGCGCCCTGGTAGGGTGAGATTTGGCTGCAAACAAAACTTTCAGTATCTGCCCCCAAAGGCTCACATGGACCGCTGAGGGCCATGTAATACGTTGTTTTATTTTAATAAGAAAAACTAACCAAGGTTAGATTATTAACTGGGGTGCTATTTGACACGATGGCGCCTGTTAGTTTTAAGGAGCCAGGGGCAGTACGTGTCGTTTTTGCTGTAGTTTAATCGAGCGGGGGTGGGGGGAGGTGTGATGGGATGCTCCTGAGCGCCCCTTTACGTCCATGACACATGGGTGGTCACTGAAGTGTAATCTACCTGATTATTTCAGTGAGTGATTAATGTACACATAAGGTTTTCATGCGGTAGTGTAGGTAAACCCGCGTCCCAGTATTTATGATCCAAGCGCAGGCATTGTTTACATTTAAATAACTCACTTTTAGAAAACAAGGTTACGCGTCTAAGAATATAGGATTGGTAACGTATGGATGAAACTCTTCTTCAATCCCCGCGGCAACGGGTACGCTAGTGTATATATATATATATATATATATATATATATATATATATATATATATATAAAGCATTGTATGTGTGTGTGTCTGTCTTTTATGCATTACTACACCTTTCATCTGATCACAATGAAACTTAGGGAAATTGTTGAGAATACACCAGGAGAGGTTTCTGTGTGAAAAATATTTCAAATTTGCAGGGATGGCGCGATTTGTTTTTTCTTTATATGCAGTGTATAAAAAATAAGTCGATTGCAAATTGACATCGTACATACGATCCGCATTAAACCTTGGGAAATTTATTAGAACACTCCAGGGAAGGTTTCATCAAAAAAAGTTCTTTGATTTCTCAAGGGTGGCGCCCCTGGAGGTTGGCATTTCTTAATGTATATACGGTATATAAAAAAATAAAAGTCCGATTCTGCTTGAAACCGTTTATCCGAGTGCCATGAAACTTTGGGGAGTTGATGAGAGATGAGAATACTCCCAAGAAGGTTTCTAGGTGGAAAAAAAATTCAACTTCACACAAGCGGCCCCCGGCTGGGTGCGATTTAGCGCCCTGGTCTTTCCTGTAAGCGCTGTGGCACATGTTTGTTTTAAACAGCATGTAAAGAGAAAGTGATTTTCAAAGCCAGGGGTAGACAAAGATACAGAATATTGTCCAAGTAGAGACAGAACAGTTTAAGCCCAATGGGATTCGAACCTACTAATTCAAGCGCACCAAATTGCCTCGCCCTCTATGCATCAAGTCAGACGTGCAAACACTTCTGCCAATCAGCTCAACAAAAAAAAAAAAAAAAATAGAGCTTTCATGGACACAGGCTGGCTTGAACTCTAACCTTGAAGGGTCTGACTGCTCATCTCATAAACACAACAAGGACAATTATTTGACCAGACAAGTACAGGCACAATAATAGAGAAATAGTAGCTTCCTTTTAAATGGGTATAGAGTGAAAGTGTAGAGGGGATGGAAGAAAGCCTTGTTACTGAAATAGCAATGTTAACAGAAAGAGATATTTCAACGCCAAGGATGGATAAAATGGGGCCTTCTAGTTGTTCAATTAATTTAATCAGCTGAGTTCCCCGGCACCTTGGCAGGGTGCGATTTGGCACCCTGGGTATTTTCAGCGGTAGTATAGGTAAACCTGGCCCCTATAAATATGATCCAAGTGCAGGCATTGTTTACATGTAAATAACTCAGTTTTAGAAAACAAGGTCAACGTCTAAGAATATAATTTATAGGATTGGTAAAGCATTTATGAAACCCTCTTAATATATTTAGTCAGATTTTATTTGTCTTTTATGCATTGCCACACCTTTCATCTGATCGCCATGAAACTTTGGGAAGTTGTGAGAACACTTCTGGGGAGGTTTTGCAAAAAAAAAATAATAATTTTTATTTCGCATGGGTGGTGCCCCGGGTTATCCCGTGAGCGCTATGGTGCCTACGTTTAATTTAAACAGTGCAATAGACTATAAGATTAAGATGGAGCGTTTAGTTGTTCAGATCACTAAATTGAATCAGGCGCGTTCGCTGGTGCCCGATGGTGCAATTTGGCACCCGGAGCTATCCCATTAGCAATATGACGCATACGTTCGTTTTAAAGATTGTGATAGAATATGGATAAGTAGTATTTTAGGGGTTCACTTAACATAATCAGGCGATTCCGACCGAGCCCTGGCATGGTGCAATTTGTTCTAGCATTAATAATAAATATATACTGAAGAAATGAACTATAAAAACTAGACTGACAAAATTGTTTATTAAGTAGTTACATGTTTTTCTTTTTTAAATGAACCAAAGCTTGCTAAAATCAATTTAGAAAAGCTTGGTGGTGCAATGTTAATGAAGAAAATGACCTTTATTTTTGACCGGGCCTAAAGCAATTTAGTGATCACTATAATGACTTATGTTGAACTCAGCCTCTTTGACCATACTCAGAAATGACAACAATTTAATTAAGTGTTTTAACACAAAAAAGGACCACCTTTTTAAAACTGCTAATAAAAAAATGTATAAGATGCCAGAATCATATACTTATTTTTGAACTGCTAATTTTTTTTTTAGGTTAGGTTAGGTTTTCCTGTCGTCCCTCCTGGGACATAGGCTGCTGACAAGAGTTTTCAGGCACCTCTGTCCTGGGCTAGTCTCTCCAAATGTCCCTAGGTGTATCCAATCTTGGTGTCTTCTTTCAGGTCACGTCTCCAGGTCTTTCTCGGTATGCCTCTCCTCCTCCTGCCCCATGGATTCCAGGAGAGGGCCTGCCTTGTTATGCTGGATACAGGCTTCCTGAGTGTGTGGCCAATCCATTTCCACTGGAGGATCTCTACTTCAGCTGGCAGTTTAGTTTTTTTAACATTTAAAATATATTGTCTATTATGCATTTCTTTTAGCGTGCCACTAAAGGCTATTCAATTCTGCAATTTTACAGGAATTGGTAAAGATATACGTTGAATGGTCAAAAGAGGCCTACGAGTTGAATGGGAGGGGGTTAAAATCTGTTACTTAACTGCAGTTGAAAAGTCATCTTGGCAATAGTTTTCAATCAGTAAATGAGATATATTTTGTAAAATCAACGACTATAAAAATTACACAGATTAAGATGGCTTAAAATTTAGGTCTGACGACAATCTGATCAGGAGAATCTGTTATCTATTCTGGGAGATCTGATGATCAACACCAGGAAGGAGTTTGTATTATCATGAATAAAAAAAATCAAGAAAAAGTCTAAAAGGGTAGGAAGCAATCAAATCTTACATTCTCAGAGCCAGATGCTACTAAAAACACTAAAGATTACCATAATACAGTGCTATGTCCCGACGGAACAAGCAAAAGACTAAGACAAGTTCTACTACACTCTACAACAGGGGTCTCATCCGGCACGTGGCGATCTTTTTGTCCACGGAAAAAACGTTTGTTGGTGATGGCTGAGGAACTTTGCTCAGAAAAATCAAAGACTTGTTTGTAACTAACTGGCCCCCGAACTGAAATTTGATAGTTAATGCGGCCCTCGGACTGAAAAGTTTGGAGACCCCTGCTCTACAAGACCACATTGACAGGATCTCACAACATGACATTCTATTAGTCATGGGAGACATTAATGCGAAGATAGGGTCTAACAAACTGCATGGGTAGAGAGGACTAGGAGAGGCAAATAACAATGGTCAAAGATTTAAAGAGATTTGTTCAGAAAATGGTCTAGTTATAGAAGGCAGCTTATTCCAGCACAAAGAAATCCACAAATGTACTTGGATATCCCCTGATAAACAAACCAGCAAACAAAGCAATCACACTGTCAGTGGCATTGCGAAGTTGGGTTCACCTGGTGCGGCACTTAATGTGGTGTCACCCCCAGAGGTGTAGCGACCCTTCACTGGGACAAACTTTCAATTTTTGATTTGCACCCCTCCCCCTCAAATTTTTTTTCTATTTTTTGCCGTGGTGTCCTCCCCCTAAATGGTGTCACCTGGTGCGGTCCGCACCCCCGTGCTAAGCCTCTGCACATTGCTATTAATAAAAAGTGGAGAAGATCCATGAGGGATGTAAAGGCAATAAGAGGAGCTGATGCAGATAGTGACCATAAGTCTTGTGCAAGCTACAACTCAAGCTTAGGAGAGTTGACAGGAAAGTTAACCTCCACCAATGTTTCTGATTTTTGTACTTCGTGCTACTGCTGTTGTACTCAAATGCTACTGCTATGGATTACCAATGACAGTGCTGTAGCTACATATTGCCACTGTTAAGGGTACTCGGTGTTGAAACAGTGGGTACTGAGTGTTGAAGCCTTATGTACTGAGTGATAAAGCTGTGGGTACTCAGCTTTAGCAGTGACTACTCACTACTGTGCTGAAGATGTGGGTACTAAATGTCTGTACTAAATGTCAGTGTAATGAAGACCTATCTTTGGGGGCATCCAGGATGGTGGTCCACCACTCAACTTTTTCAAAGCTAAATTGTTATATTATACCCAGCAGCATGTTCCAGTATCACTCTCCATATGCCAAAGTCAATGAAACAGGTGAACTCTATTTCACCTGGCACATGGATCGCATATATAGGCGAAGACAATATTATATTGTAAATCTTTTACTTATTTAATTTATTATCATACTTGAAGAAATGACGGTTTTTCGAGGCATCTTAGTTCGCTATACCCGATTGGCACCTGAGTACAGTTTTATGTCTTGTTGCTGGATGTCGGGAAAATGCAACAAAACTTCATTAATTTTTCTCATGTGATTTATACTGTTTATATACATAAAAGAGGGAATAATAAAGCTGTTAGTATTTTTTATACTAAAAACTGACCACCTATTTAGTAATGATAATCAATAAAGACATAGCTAAGCATCTAGATTTTTGTTAATCAAGCAATATTTAAAGGTGGTGATAACAGGAGACGAGTGATTGAAGCTATATCAATTACCTTTGAGCATTTGACCAAGCTACCATCTGCTGTCACCAACTCATAACTAACACAGCAATGCTGAAATAATCCATAAAGATGAGATGATGTCTCAATACCAACACCCATGATTAATCCACCTGCAATATTAAAGATAATGAATAAAAAAAAGCAAAAGAAATACAAGACAAAATAAGCACATAAGGCCTAAGTAAAGTAATTTGATTATACACACATCAACTATCAAGTACATTTAGGTTTTCCAAATGATATTTAAAAATTTAATGGTTTTTCTAGGGAGGCTACTAAAGAATGTCAAAAAATAAATAATTAGGAAGTTCTGCATGTGGTGCAAGTAATATTTGCTCTTTTGCTATTTATTATTGTGGTCAAGTTCTCCAAAATGTCTGATTTTCAAACTCCCTCCTTACAAGGTGATGGGGGTAACAGTTCATGATTGGCAACTTTAAAGGAGTGGGGAAGGCACTAAAAAAAGTGAGACTGGTTAAAAAAAATAGTGATATAATGGTATTAATTAAAGAGTGTGTGCTCACATTAAAAATTGTGTAATATACATTAACAGTAATCCCTCACTACTTCGCAGTTCATTTGTTGCAATTTCAGTACATAGCAGATTGCTAAAAAATATTCATTGAAAATTCTAAATTGATTTTATGCCGTATGTACGTATGTTAAAATGAGAGGTTAACACTACATTGTGGTTTTTCACATATCAAATATCAAGGGAAGTTCATGTCTAACCAATAACTGAGGGATTACTGTATATTACATAAGCATAAACAGGTTAAATGTATAAATAAAAACAGAAAATCAATGTGCCCACCAACAGTAAGATCATCCAATTCAGGCAAAACTGGTAGAGTCCAACCAAGAGGATTTAGACAAGCAGTGACCTGACCCATAGTTACAAGTGGTTCAACTTTGACAATCTATGTAATTGTAAAATAAGGTCATTGATATAGACCAATCAACTTGTGTTGCGCAATTAAGATAACTTAAATAAACATCACAAAGAAAAAGTAATTCTAGATAGGATAAAATAGATACAAAATGAGCTTAATAATAGTTCTATAAGCTTCAGACATGCCTATCCCTGTCAGCCAAAAGTAGGAACAGTCATACCTTAAAAGAGGAATTTGAAGCCAAAAAAAAAAGGAACATGTGTGGACACTACTAAGTCAAAAACAAAAATAATGAAAAATCAGTCTAAAAAAAGAAAACCAGTAACCTGAGACATCCCCCCTCCCCCAAATCAAAACCATAGCTTTGACTTAACATTATTGATTTGATTATTATGCCTTGCTATGTTCTAGGCTATTTGTAGTATTTGAATAACAAATGCTGAAGGCTTCGTGTGTAATATAAAATATAAGTTAAGACCTAGATCTACCTAGTTCTTCATAATAGTGGTTACTAGATCTAGATCTAGTTACAACTTACAAGATCAGTATTCACGATTCAGTTCAGTATCTAATACTAGAAGATCTACTAGATCTATCTAATCTAAATCTAGAAATTAGTGTGTTAGTCATGATTTTTATTGTATTTTTCTCCCTACATTTTAGTTGAGGCATAATTTAAATCTACAAATGTATAATTAGCATCTTAATGATACATACAAAAAGATCCACAATTACATAGGGCATAAACTATTTAATAAAATTAGACCGATCCCCACTGTAGTGTAAAGTCTTTGCCACTGTTTCTTGTATTTTGAAACATGTTTTCTAGTGTAGAAAATAATACGTAGTTACTGCGTGTGAATAAGTTAAGCTTATGTATAACAAGCCCTTAAGGTGTGCATTTCTAATGATCTGTATAGGTTTTTTTAAATATAGCACCATATACAGAAGTAACTGGTAAACACTAATTCATCTGCCCAATGGACCACCTTATATAAGGTTAGGCTGTTGTTTGACCAACTTTTTTGCCGTCATCATGTCAGTCAAAAGTGAAAATACAGGGTTTCCTTTTTTTACTTTCTCGCATATATATGAAGTATAGAGAAAGTCTTGTAATCGTGCAAAAAATAAAAAATAAAAAAAAATTTAAATCTCGACGTTTTAAGGCTCCATGAGTCGGAAAAACATAGTTTTGAAATCTTGTCCATATGTCTGTGTGTGTGTTTATGTGTAAACACGATAACTTGAGTACCGTTACAGCTAGGTTGATGAAATTTCATATATAAGTATTTATTATATAAAAATCGTAGATCCTTATCAACTTTAGTGCGATTTCCGATAACCAGAAGTGTAACTTTTTCTACTTTTAATTTTTCAAAAGCCTATAATTTGAGTGCTATTTCAGATAGACAAATAAAATTTCACATGTAAGTAAAAGTTCTAATTCTCTGCCTTCTATTAAATTTTAAGTAACTTCCGTTGACCGGAAGTAGTAATTTATGCCATTTCCGATTTCTAAAAAAAAAAAAATGCATGTGAATTTATAAAGTACTAATAATATCCCACACTATTATGCACATTTTATTGGGAGTTCACTTGGTGTGCAATTTTTTTTACGAGATTCTATTCTATTATAAAAAGTTTAAGTAATCAATCGGGAGTGATCTCCCCTAAACTTTCTCAAATATTCTTATATAAAACAACAGGGGATGGGAACTTGGGCTAGATATCATTTTTAATCCATTTTAAATACTTAAAAGTTTTTATTAGAGAAAGTTAAAGGGAGATCACTCCCGGTTTATTTAAACTATGTTTTGTGGTAATTTCAACAACACATACTTATAATAATAATTTTTGTGTTTTATTAAACAGACCAACCTAGTTTTAATAATCCCTAAATGGTCAATAATTTTTTTATGTACCCCCCCCCCCTTTAAAAAACCCAACAGTTGGCCTTAAATAACTAACCCATGTATCAGTCATAGCATCGTAACCATTTAAAAACAATGCGTTTTTTTTTATATTTTCTAGGCTACCGATTAATTTCAATGCTTAAACTTGATATCGAATTAAAGGTAAATAAATGTTTTTAATTGTTTAAGTCATTTGACCTAAAACAAAGTAGTCCTTTTTCTGTTTTAATGGACTCTTGAGGTAATAAACTATGAACAACAAATTTCTTATACAACTGAGTGAATTACCCAAGGTCATGCTAAAACATAATCCATTACATAAATAATGACATTTATAATGATAATTATTTATTTTTCTGGCATCCATGGGCTTTGGTGTACAATCTGATCAGGTGTGAAACCAACCATACCTGACCAACAGTTCACAACCATCAGCCAGGTATCTTATAAAACGATCTATTAATGTGTTAATACCCCTTGTTATTGAATTTAGCAGTCCTTTAAATATTTTTAAAAATTTAATACCTACTTATATATTTTTGGATTGTTTTTGGAGACACATTTATTAATATCTATTTAGGTTAAAAACTATGATTAAGAAGCCATTACTTTTTTAATGATGTCCACCTCAAGAATGTCTAGAAGATTTATTTGAATGTTATGCAGACTGTTTTTATATAATCCTCTCCTGAAACTCATTGTTGCCCATCCTGGCCGTGCAGTGCACATAAGACTTTTTCTTCCACCAGAATTCCATTCTCTAACCTACATATCAAAAAAGAAATGTGTAAAAGTGCATAAAAAATATATTGTTTTTGAAAATTAGGTGCTATATATACTTTACCATGAAGGCAAATCCCTATTTATATGGTTACTCCTTAACTTAGACTAATGCAATTTAAGAAAAAATGTATTTTAAATATTAAGGATACATTGTTTTCAGTTTTAAGGTAGATTAGGAAAATCACTATTGAAAGAAATGTGAAAGAAAGGCAACTCATTACATTTTAGTAATTATTTCACATTTTTGGAGGATTTATGTTTTAAAATTACAAAAATTTTGCATGTACCTGTTTTTAAACAATTTTATTCGAAATTTTCCATGATTTATAAAGATGCAACAGAGCTCGTTATTTTAACAGCAATCTTGTTAAAGTCAGTTTGAGTTTATTTTTTGTTAACAATATTGCTAGAAATTCGGGGGAAACCACTCTTAAGAACATTTATTCCTGTTAACTACAAAGAGATTAGAAGTTTTATGGTTGGTTAGAAACAGTTGGGGGCTGAGTCGGTTGTATTGCCCCTTAGGGGTAATAAGTATGTGTACCTTTTTAAAAATTACCTGGCTTACATCAGATGGCTGAATTTTTACTTTTTAGCAGGTTAGAATTGTATTTCTATCATTTAGACACAAGTCTGTTTAACAATTAATGCATTTTGTGTTAACTATTCCTATACCAGTGTCATATTCAGTGGTCTAATAAATGAGAAACTTGCACATAGGGTATCAAAAGCCACATAACAGTATCTGTTATAACTTTTCTGAACAGGCAAGCTAGTGGACAAAATTAATGTGTTTATGTAGATTTAGTTATTATCTAACAAATAAAACCATTATGGTAATGATCAGTCTGATAATGATAAAAACTTTATAGCATGGTAAAATGGGACAAATGTCGGCCATTTTGTTTTGGCACCAATAATCACTGTGCAAAAAAAATTCACCAAAATAAAACTATTCTAGCCATAGCTATAAAAATAGTGTTAAAATGTACAACAACCAATGCTCTAATACAGGAACAAAGAATGGGCTTGAAAAACTCATTTGGTTTATTACAAAGTGAAGTTTCCCAAGTTATGTCTATTTGGAAAAAAGTTCACAAAATGGTTTTATGGAGATGAGAAATTTTAGGGAAAGAGCAGTGGGATTAAATCCTCTCCCTATTGGACCAAATGGGTGGTCATAAATTACATAAAATGAATCTTCTGCTTCTCTGTTATCAAAGAACAACAGTTGTTGTTACCTAAGAAGTAGATTAGCAGTGTTATTGGGGGTTTTGTGGGGTTGATTGGGGCTTAATAATACTTAATACCACACGGCTCCTAACGCCCTCCTTTACCCTAATTATAGTAGGCCTAATTAAAACTAATATAGTCAATCTCCTTACCAAAACCGGAGGTCAGAACCTGACCCTGAAACATCATGCTCTTTTTGTTTTCTCATTTTAAGTGTTTTTGGGGGGGTCCTATATACAAAAAATGAAAAACTGCTAATCTAGCAATATCTCATCATTATTTTAATGCGAAATGCTAAGGAAATGGATACTATGGCTTAAATGCCAGAAAAATTTTGCGAGATATGTAGTTATTAATACAAGCATTGTTTGTAGAGCACTCTCAGGAGAAACTGAACTGCAACGAAAAACGACCGACCACCGGGCAACAGCGCTCGACAGATCCTAGATAAATATATATTTGAGATATTTACCATGATTAATTACAATGATGCTGCTTCCCTTCTTCCAAAATCCAATTCCCCATAGAAATACCATGCCTCTGCTATTTTTAGTAACGTTACGTCATTGTTACGCTAGTTGTCAGATAGAAACAGCTAATTTTTGTTTTTTGCGGAATGCACTGTTAAGTCTAGTATTTTAATTATAATTCAGTTGTAGTTGTAGCATGTGCAGAAATTGTGGACAATATTATTGTATTAAAGTATTAGTAATTTTGTAAGTATATTGATTTTTTTCTTCACTGCAAGCCAAGTAGGCCGACTGCACTGTTAGTTTCATTGAACATAATTCGTGACCGGTCGTTAACCTTGTAAATACTAAATACTTCGTGCCTACCCGACTGCATAATTCATATGAAATTATATGTAGTTTTTAATTAGGCCTTAGTATTGTATTTTAAATAATGCTCATTCCGAGCCTATTTTGTGCTAGATCTAATTAGGCCTACTGGCAATTTTTTTTATTTTTAGAGTTGGTCAACCTCGTTAATGCTGTTGGGTTAGTTAAACATAGGAACTGTGTGTAAAATTTACGCAGTTACTCAGTTACTATGTAGAACGATATCAATAAATGAAGTAATATTTATTTCCTTTTAGTTTTAGCAATCTTTTGAAACAAAATGTCTAATATTTTATTTTCCAATACATCGTGGTGTGTGGCAGAGTAAACAGAACGGTGCGGTAGGTGACCTAGAATCTCAGAGTTCGAATCCGAAGTGAATCAGCTGTGCTTTATTTTATTGTTTCACATAGGAAATGCCACAAGCGGTTTTATTTTCATCTTTTTTAAAAATATTTTTTTGATCGAAATAATATTTTATAAAATAATTATTCAAGATTTTCCAAACATCGTCGCTCGCATCGCTCGCGAGATCGACTGCTTACATTTTCTTGTCTGCGGGAGAAAAATGTTCACCGTGAGTTCAGCAGGCCTACCATAGCATACGTCACAGCATTAACGATTGCTGTTAGAGATCGTCTGTGGGCAATCCCACCCCTCCCCTCATAAATCAAGCAAATTGTAAAACGACTAAGGGTCATTTTAAGTTCACGCAAGCTTACAGGACTGTAGATATACTACGAATAGCTGGTAAAAAAAAAAAAAGAACTTCGCCTAACCTAATGCTGCTATTACAGAAGAGAATATTAATTACAGAGTATTTAATCTTAAAGTTTAAAAAAAAAGTTGATTTATCATCTTACCTAATACTGTATTGTCTTTACCGTTAGAAGGACTAGATCTAGATTTCTGTTAAATCTATTTTTAGTTTTGGATATTAATTTTATTATCATCTTCATGGGTATTGATTGTTCAATTCATCATTGTACATTGTACATAGTGTAGGCCGGTTCGTCACTTAGATGGCTGGATAGAGTCCTTTCATATGACGTCACGTCCGTTCGTGATACCTACGCCCGCCGCCACAGTGGTGTACACAAGACGTAAACACAATCAGCTGTTCGCCAGCGCTGGACGTGTTCACCAGCGCTGGACGCGTTCACTGTATGTAAAGAACCGCACCCGCGGAAAAGGAAAAATACGTTAAAAAACTTGAACTCTTAGGAATTGAAGATCCTTATACTGTTATTGACAGTTTCGTATAAATAAATATGTGGACAAAATTTCTAAATAAAAATACTGTTAGTAATACTGTTTGCGTTTAGAGTTAAAGTAGCCGAATCTGATCAAATGCAGTTCTCGATACTTTGTTTCAGGTAAGGACAGTAAAATAATAAACTTCATTTTAATTATAAAAGATAACTATTAATAATTAATAAAACAAATATGCTCGACCTTCACAAATACTAATATATAGTAAAAGACAAAGTCAAAAGTAATAGGCTAATAAGAATAATAAGATCTAATAGTAGGCCTAATACCTGGCTCCGCTGGGTAGACATAGAATCTAGAATCTACTTCTTTACTTAAATTTAATTACTTTAGATCTACATTCGATTCAAAATACACCCATAATAAATCAAAAGTAGTCATAATAGGCCTAATAAAGCATTTAATTGTCTCTAAGATCTAAAATCTCGCTCTATTAGTATTATCTAATCATTTTTTTAGCAAACGAAATTTTCTGAAATTGAAATAGATTATATGACTAGACTTAGATCTAGAATCTGCTACTTAAATTAAATTGTAAAAACTTTATACAAGCATGTAGTTGATATTATTGTAGTAGAAGGCTTTAATAAATTACTAAGGCCTACCTACTTTGTTGTCTTTTTACAGCAATATGTATCTGATACTGGACTGAGTTTAATTAAATTCAAATTCATATCTAGTAATTGGTCTACTAAGTTTTTGTAGCCTAGTAGTACAATCTAGATCATACCAGCCAACAACAAATAACCACATTATTATTATTTGGTTAATGATTAGGCTAATTTTTTTTTAAATCCACTGTTTATAAAAGAAACAAATCAAGCTAGAAACATTATAAGTGAGATGGTTTAGAATAATAACAATGGACCCAGTCTACAATTGATACAATTGCAGGTCTACATAGGGCCTACAGTCTAGTAGTTTACAGTAGGCACCTAGTGTGTAGCTAGTATACTAGTGTGTAGCTGTCCAGAGTTAAGATTCTTAATGCCTTAATGCTTTCCCCTGATAAGCCGTGTGTGCTATAAATGACATAACATGACACCGAGGTGAGAAGTGTTGAGGGGAGAGCAGTGGGACTTTCCCCTTTGTTCTCCCTGCTGGGCCCTGAGGGTCAAAATTATATAAGAAATACTATCTCTGTGGGGCTGGGTATCACGGAGGTGAGACATTTTCAGGGGAGGGCAGGGCAGACTCCTCTTTGGTTTTATTGTGGGCTAGAAACAGGTGGGGGCAGCCATCGTGAGGGTTGAACATCAGTATTAATGTGTCTGATCACTTCCCTGCTGGATTATAAGGGTCTTAAATTGTATAACATGCTACCCAGATTGGTTATTCCATGGATTATATTAGCCGTTGTAGTGTGGGTTTTGTAGGAGTTAAGTGGTCTTACGTTTGCTACAGTAGATAACCTCTAATATATTACTGCATTTGATCAGATTCGTCTACTTAAACTCTAAACGCAAACGGTATTACTAACAGTATTTTTATTTAGAAATTTCGGCCACATATTTATATTATCCATGAAACTGTCAATAACTGTATAAGGATCTTCAATTCCTAAGAGTTCAAGTTTTTTAACGTATTTTTCCTTTTCCGCGGTCGCGATTCTTTACATACGGTGAACACGTCCAGCGCTGGTGAACACGTCCAGCGCTGGCGAACAGCTGATTGTGTTTACGTCTGATGTACACCACTGTGGCGGCGGGCGTAGGTATCACGTGATTTAGGTCACGTGTTTGCAAGGACTCTATTGACCTCTGACCCTGAAACGTCACGCGTCGTTTTCTGACGGTTTCTACGTTTATTTTAGGGGTCCTATCCACGACAAATTAAAGAACTGTTTATCTCGCCAATTCTCATCATTATTTCAACACAAAATGCTAATAAAATGGATAATATGCCTTAGAATGCCAGAAAAAATCGCGAGAATTGTGTTTGTAAATAATGAGAGGATTTCTAGTGGAGCACTCTCCGTAAAAACTGAACCGCGGCCAAAAACGACCCAATAATGGGAAAAACGGCTCTGATAACACTAAATTAATATATAATTGAGATAATTACCATGTATACTTACAGTATTATCGATTCTACTTTCCAAAATCTAATTCCAAAATGAGGTACCCACGCTGACATTTCTATCCGCTATTTTTAGTATCATGACGTCATTGCTACGCTAGTTGCCAGACTGAAACAACTAGTTTTTGTTTTTTACGGAATGAACTGTTAAGTCTAGTATTTTAATTATTATTAAATATTATTCAATTGTAGCATGTGCGGAAAAAGTAAAATTATGGACATTATTATTGTATTAGTAATTTTATTAGTATATTGATTTTTTCTTCACTGTGGGCCGACCGTTGCTGCATTCGTGAACGGTGGTTAACCTAGTCAACGCCGCGCGGCCTATTCGTTTATATAATCAGTGATGCTCGTTCAGTGGCCTTTTTCAGCGCTAGGCCTAATTACGGGCGATTTTTAGACTTAATTGAGTGGCCGTTAGCCTTTTTCATTGCTGCGTATTTTAAAAAATGCTCGTTCAGCGGCCCTTTTTTTTTTTGGCGCTAAATAATCTGTTTACTGCATTTTAAGCGTTTATTTATTTATTTTTTTAAGCTAGACGTAGATCTAGTTAAAAAAAATATTTTTTTATACAGGTGGCTGATATTAGGTAGCCCAAACTGAAATTAACTATTGATTGCAGACTTCTGGAGTGAGTATGTCATGAAAGAACTTTTAATTGTAAGGTCTATGCCACAAATTTTATAAAAATATCTCAATAAATAAAAAAGTTATGCGATTTTTAAAAAAGCAAAATTTGGTAAAAAACTGATTTTCAAAAAGTGCCATTTTTGAGAACCCATATTTTTTAAACTAAATAACATAGAAGTGTGGAAATTGGTAAAGTTGCTGCAAAGTTTGTAATATATATGCCCAATTTTTTTCAGTCATCTAAAATGAGTCTTTCTAAGGTAAAAAAATAATTGAAAATGACAAAAATGCGTTTTGGTCACTTTTATTTTCATAAAAAAAAAAAATTCAATTTTTTTTTTTTTTGCTTTGGAATAACTCTAAAATTATTGTGTTGGTAACATCGACGTGGAAAAATGTGTTAATTATTTTCAAAAATCACATGAGTTAAAATATTATTTTAAAAAATACCACAGTTATCTAGTGCAGGAGAAACAGAATCAAAATTTAGTAGAGTAAATGTAATGTAGTTTAATAAAGACGTGATGCCTACAAGTGATGCAGCAGTTGATGCCACATGCTTTGGTTTCTTTTCAAACCTGATAACTGCTTTGGGGGAACAGTTTTGGGGGAACATCTTTGTACGTCTTGTTTCCCTCAACCTTGATCTTGTGGAGCATCAAGAGTAAGTAATATGTTTTGGGAATTGTAGGGGGGAGGGGAGAGTGGGGTCTTGGCCTTCTTCCCTTCCCTTGTAAGAAAAGTTCTGGATAGGCCACCGTAAATGTCTCCAGCTATGGAACGAACAATTGATTTAGTGATTAATAAAATATAATTAAATTTACTACTAGCCTATTGTGTAGGCCTACTATTTGTCCTATGACTATAACTGGAAACATATGAAAAAGCCTGAAAACACCTTTTTGTTAAAAGTAATTTATATTTTATATATATTTTTAAGAGTATTTCTACTGAATGAAATTTGAAATAATCGTTGCTTGTCCCACAATGGTTGAGATATCCAATGATGAAGATGCCATACTGTGGTTCTCAACATCCTATAGGACAACTTAACTGTCCTTCATGGTTACTATTATATGCATATAAAATAAATAAATAATGAGAAATACTACTAGTACTACTTACACTTACAACTAATATAACATTTAAAACTAAGTCACAACATGTAGAATCTTAATAAATTGCACCACCATCTAAAAATTGATCTGGTATATTTTATTACGGAGACTGGCGCAGACCATTTCACATTATTTAGCAGGGGAATCAGAATCATAGTGCATAACAGAAAATAAAAAAATTAATCACATTAGTCCTTAAAATTTAGTGTCTTTTGTTTTAAATAAATCAATAAAAATGTGTAGTTATTTTAATTATACATTTCTTTTGTGTTTCATTAATATTTTATAAGTATTTAACCTTCGTTCCCTGTAAATAATTGAGTTTGTCCACATAGTTACCAGGATTGTCTGGTGGCCATTTTGAATTTGTCGATTCATAATTTTGACGTGATAGTCCAAATAAACTGTAGTAATACGACCCTATCATTAATCCCGTTCGATAGATTTTAAAGAATTAGTAAACACTAGCATCTAATAGTTAAGTGCATCCATATTTTAAGTCCCTAGAATGTCCTGAATTAAATAGCTTCACGTCTAAACACACCCTGTGTACAAGCGTAGTTCACACGCAAGAAACCGTGGACTAGTAGAGTTCAAATTTACATTAATAACGTGTACTAATTAAACCAAACTGACATTCAAACTTAAAATTCATTTATTAAAATGGAAATGAAACTTTAAAAATGGTACTTACAACTTGTTTGAAGGCTCTAGCAAGGGTAAAATCCCTTTAGCATCATCGGTCGTCAACCTTTAAAACCGTTCGGCGAGCAACTTACTCGGGGCTGAAAGTCGACTCGAGGGTTATATGTTTATTGGGGGTATGGCTTCGCGACCGTAAATCAGAAATACTTGAATTTACAACACAAAGTAGTTATAAAACTGAACTTTACATCGGTGTAAAAATTGAAACAGAATTAGTTTGTTTCCGTGTATATATCGTCATTTAAAGTTTAAAATCTGTATTTTTTAAATGAAATAAACAAGTTATTTTTTCAATTTATACATCAAACGATAGCCTAGAATTCGATCTTTAAAATGACATTAAGATTATGCTTCTACGATGCTTCGTCGCGAAGCCACGACCAAATAAAACAGTGTGGGGTCGATCGGTACACGCAAAACGGTGAAATTTGTTGACGTAACTGATACTTTTCAAACAAATATAAAACACATTCCAACATGTGTTACAGATGTAAAAATACCAGATTACGACAGATAAAGACTTAAACTTTGTTGACATATAATTTGTATTCTTATAGGACAACTAGAAGTAGTGAAATTTTTTTTTGAAAACCGCAAAAACTGACCCTAAAACGCACTTTTTCGCCAGTTTGGACTACCTACTGATATGCGAACTTTAAAAAAAAATGACCGAGCTTTAAAAAAAAATGAACAGAAGGGAAATAGGTCTGTTATTCAATTAGCTTGAAGAAGGGTGGGGGGGGGGGGGGGGAAAGAGAGAGAGAAGTGAAGACACCGACCATCTCGTGTACGCGTGTTCATTCTATGACATGTACTATAGGCCTGCTGAAGTCACGGTGACCCCGCGACCGTGGTGGGAATTTTCATCCACAGGATAGTAAACATAAGCAAGCAATCAAGCGAGTGACGATGTTTGGAGATTTTATTTAAAAAAAAAAATCACATACGTCATGTTTTCAAGATAAAAAAAAAATGTAATGTAAAAAAAAAAAGACACTAATACTCATGTATGAACCTCAGCTGCCACACTGTTGACTCAATATAATGTGATTGAGTGTAAAATGTATTTGTATTTATAAACTTAACTCTTAACTATTACTATCATATTATTTTATGCATATTTATTATTTAAAATTAGAATTTGAAATAAAAATATTTATTATGGTCATTTGATTTATGCAGGTGTTCATTACTTCATAAAATGGTATGAATAACATGTAGAGTAGAATTTAATAAATAATAAAATAACTAGATCTAGTTTTATTATCAACCAGTTGCTTTTTGTTATTTTCCGGTGAGTAAATAACCTAAGCTGACGCAATTACCATGGCGGGAATTAAAAGCTCGGGCACACAAGTCCACGACGTCATGTTATGCCGGTCGAGGAGCAAAAACGATGTTCTTACTTTCATTTTCCATTCTCGGAAAAATTTTAAATTCTCTCTTTTCTCGTCAACCGTTTAAGCTAGATATTTAAATGTGGTGTCAAATGTTCTCTTAAGGGGTAAGGAACTTAATGGTGTATTTGAAATAACAGAATATTTTATTTTAAAAAATCCATAATTAAACCTACTAATTAATAGGTTGAATTATGGATTTTTTTAAATAAAATATTATGTTATTTCAAATACACCATTAAGTTCCTTACCCCTTAAGAGAACATTTGACACCACATTTGAATATCTAGCTTACTCGGTTGACGAGAAAAGAGAGAATTTGAAATTTTTCCGATATTGGAAAATGAAAGACAAAACCGCGTTTTAGCCCCTCGACCGGCATAACATTACGTCGTGGACGTGTGTACACGAGCTATTAATTCCCGCCATGGTAATTGCGTCAGCTTAGGTTATTTACTCACCGGAAAATAACAAAAAGCAACTGAACAAAAAGCAACTGGTTGATAATAAAACTAGATCTAGTTATTTTATTATTTATTAAATTCTACTCTACATTTTATTCATACCATTTTATGAAATAATGAGCACCTGCATAAATCAAATGACCATAATAAATATTTTTATTTCAAATCCTAATTTTAAATAATATATGCATAAAATAATATGATAGTGTAATAGTTAAGATAGTTTATAAATAAAAATACATTTTACACTCAATCACTTTATATTGAGTCAACAGTGTGGCAGCTGAGGTTCATACATGGTATTAGTGTCTTTTTTTTTTTTTTTTACATTACATTTTTTTTCATCTTGAAAACATGACGTATGTGATTTTTTTTTAAAATAAAATCTCCAAACATCGTCACTCGCGTGATTGCTTGCTTACGTTTACTATCCTGTGGATGAAAAATCCCACCACGGTCGCGGGTCACCGTGAGTTCAGCAGGCCTATAGTACACATCATAGAATGAACACGCGTACACGAGATGGTCGGTGTCTTCACTTCTCTCTCTCTTCCCTCCCCCCCCCCCCTTCTTCAAGCAAATTGAAAAACAGACCTACTTCCCTACTTCTGGACATTTTTTTAAAAGTTCGGTCATTTTTTTAAAAGTTCACATATCATTATCAGGCATGCTAGACAGCCAGCTGTATAAAAATTATTTTTTTTTAAAACTAGATCTACGTCTAGCTTAAAAAAAATAAATAAACGTTTAAAATGCCCGTAAACAGATTATTTAGCGCAAAAAAAAAGGCCGCTGAACGAGCATTTTTTAAAATACGCAGCAATGAAAAAGGCTAACGGCCGATCAATTAAGTCTAAAAATCGCCCGTAATTAGGCCTAGCTTTGAAAAAGGCCACTGAACGAGCATCACTGATTATATAAACGAATAGGCCACGCAGCGTTGACGAGGTTAACCACAGGTCACGAATGCAGCAACTGTCGGCCCACAGTGAAGAAAAAAAATTAATATACTAATAAAATTACTAATACAATAATAATGTCCATAATTTTACTTTTTCCGCACATGCTACAATTGAATTATAATTAAAATACTAGATTTAACAGTTCATTCCGCAAAAAACAAAAACTAGTTGTTTCTGTGAGGTAACTAGCGTAACAATGACGTCATGATACTAAAAATAGCGGATAGAAATGTCAGTGGGGGTACCTCATCCTCGAGTGAGATTTTGGAAAAAGTAATCAAAAATACTGTAAATATACATGATAAATATATCAATTATATATTAATGTACAGTTAGTCGAGCCGTTTTCCCCGTTAGTCGGTCGTTTTTGGCGGCGGTTCAGTTTTTACGGAGAGTGCTCGACTGGACATGCTCTCATTATTTACAACCACGAATCTTGCGATTTTTTCTGGCATTCTAAGGCATATTATCCATTTTATTAGCAATTTGCATTAAAATAATGATGAGAATTTGCGATATAAACAGTTTTTTCATTTGTCGTGGATGGGACCCCTAAAATAAACGTAAAACCCGTCAGAAAACGACGCATGACGTTTCAGGGTCAGAGGTCAATCCTACCATCTAAGCAATGCGCCAGACTACTAATTAAACCTAATATTAGGCATTAGGGTCTATCCATAGACCTGTTAATATTATTTTTAACCAATTTGGCCCTTTGCCTTTTTAAAAAATTTCATTTAAATTACCTGTTGTTGAACATATTTTACACGTTTATCGTGTTGTTTAGGAGCTGAATTGAACGCAAATACCAGTTTTAATCGAAGATACATCAGTGCGTCATACAACACCGACAGTGGTAATAAAAACAGGCAAACAAAAATCCAGCGATAGTGAATAAGAATATATTCCATGCCCTTGTATCGCATCCATGACACAGACAAAACTGTGGGAATGATAATATACACCAATAGGTTTAATGGAACATCCATATTGAATGGAAGCAACTGAACGTCAAAACAAGTATTTTGCAGCTCGATGCCGGCTCGTTGAAGATAAAATGGCTAACATGGCAGATCAAAAATAAATTTTAGATGCCAAAACTTTTTAGACTTTTAAAATTTTTACTGAATATGTTGTTTATTTTGCTAATAAAATAAAAATGTATAGATCTAAGTTCTATTGTAATTTCTCAATTTTTTATTTAATAAACAGTGATTTTTATCAAATGTTAATAAATCCTTATTTAATTTTAAATAGTTAATAATTAGGCCTACTATTTTACTAAATTATAGGCCTATTTTTAAGCGTTTTGAGGCCTAAACAAAGTTGCTAGTGCCTAATGGCCTTCAGTTTGTGGAAACAATTTGTGGTAGCTTAAATAGAAATACTTGGCGTAGCCTAGATTTAAAAGATCTGATTTTTATCTAGATTCTAGAATCTAGATCTCTAGATCTAAAAACCGTGTCAAAATGGCCACTGGAGCTAATAGAGAGCACAAATCTGCCTCGGTGTTTACACCTCTTTCACCAGCACAAACGCAATCAGATAACGTAATAAATAAGATCAATTAATTTAATTAATATTTAATAATTACTCTACTGACTCTACTCTAGATCTAGATAATAAAAATATCTCATTATTTATAATTTACGCCTACTAATATATAAATATAATAATTTAATTTTTATTATAAATTATAGGCTAGATCTAGAGAATAATAATAATTAGTAATTAGGTAATCTATCGTTTTAATTTTAGCGTAATCAATTCGACTGCAGTAGTAGTAGTAGTAGTAATGTGCGGGAGAGGTAACTGATGAATATATATTATATTTGTTTCAATAAGTTTATTTAAGTCAAATTTTACAAAATATAACAGATAATTGATTTAAAATAACAATCAGTGACCAAAACAATTTAAAATAATATGAAACTAACTTTAAACTAGGTGTTTGAGATAAATATTAGTAGATAAAAACAGCGGCCATCTTTCCAAATAAAATTTAGAGTAGTTTCCCTTGATACAAATGTCTATTCGTAGGATATTGTGTTGACTTTGTTGTTTATTATACCTAGCTGTCTTGTTTAATGTAAGTAGTACATATCGCCGTCTTCTCATCTTTAATTTCAATTGAAATGAAGGTTATTTATGTATGGGATCCTCCCCCCCCCCTCGTCGCCCTCCTCCTTTTGGGAGGTCCAACATTTATTAAACCCTTTTGTACTGATGAACTTATCAATTATTAGGTCGTCCATATTCTTCATAAATGACGTTGGACTCAAAATATGGGACAGGGTAAAATATTATTTTTTTTTAATGATGAACAATATATTCGTTTTTGTTAGAAATTGTGATTACGCGTTCGGGTATAGTAGAACTGCGATATGATATTAAATCATCATATTGCTTTTAGTGACGATTGGGGAAAAGGGAATTCATTGGGAAAAGTATGATGTCATTTATGGACAGGGCTGGCGCTACCTATAATGCGAACTAGACTGTCGCCTAGGGCGATGTCCGTATGGGGGGGGGGGGCCAAAATGGGTTGGAAAAACAAATTGAAAGTTTGAGGGGGGTGCAAATCGTAAGCTTGTCCCCGGGCGCCTGGAAGGGTAGCTACGCCTCTGATAATACGGGGAGCATGAAAAAAATTGTGGGGGGGGGGGGGGTGCTTTTAATAAGTTTTGCCTAGGGCGCTAAATAACCTGGCGCCTGCACTGTTTATGGGTGATCCATTTAAGCCTAGTTGTTTATTTTATCTGTAGACATTATTCTTAAGTTAAGCCTACACTTTTTCTGAATTAAGATTATTGTGTTTATAAAAAATAGTTTTAAATTTTAATTAGTTACATTTGAATACCACATGGTTTTTTTTCTTTGCCTTCTGCTGTCATCAGTTTTTGATTTGTTCAATAGTCGATGTTTAGCCCTCCCCACCATCCATTACTACAAAAACAAAAAACGCCCACTATATAGTGATATCTCCCTCTAGAAGAAAAAAAACTAGATCAACCTATAGTTCGTAGGAGAATTAGAATCTATCACTTATTCGTCTGTTAAAAAAAAGAAATACGTCATTTTTCTCAACCCCGCTGTTTCATCCCCCACTTAGCACAACGTCACCAAGCTCCCGGCGCGCTTGACGTCATTTGTCATTAGGTTATTGTTAAAGAAAGAAATACAGCGTAATTAAAAAAAAACCAAAACACGCACTATGGAGTTGAGACTTCAGCGACTTTTAACCTGTAGAATAGATCTAAATGACTTTAGTTCGGTAAATTATATTTGTGTTTAATTTATTACAGTGGCATGCGGTGCTCCCTATACTATACAAATTCACATGCTTTTAATTTCTGCAACCTGCTGCCCTGAGATGTTCGGCTGTAAAATGCCCGTGACACAGCGGCTACCGTATATGCATTTAGGCTCCCAGTCCCACCTATACACTTCGTCTGCCCATTAAGCTCCATGCAAAACTTGTGATTGATATGTGGACATAAGCGGCGATAGTGCTGGTGTCAAAAGGGACCCCCCCCTCCCCAAGCTCAGCTCTTAAAGGTGCTCCGCACTTCATAAAAGACAAACTTGATGTTCAGACATCGTCAGACTCGGGCGTTTAGCCGACTGCCGTATTCCTAATGTACTGTCCACTGCTAACACTATTTCTATATTAAACTCAAGCTTATACTGAGCTCTGGCTTTTTACATTAGCTGCTGTCGTATTAAGGGTTGATCTTTTGTTAAGCCCCATGTCACGAAACTTGCTGTTTTGTCCAATTTTACCTGCAAGCCAATAATTGTCTTGGATTCTTGTCGAATACCGTTGCCAGGAGCTAGTTGGTTTGAGTCTTATTGTCAGAAGTTATTTCATTTGGAGTCAATGTAGTGCAGCCTATTTTCGTCGGTAGGCATTTAGTGGCAGGCCCTTTTTGGCGGGGATGGTGTGCTGAGGTTGTTTAACACAGCTTAGGACAACAGGCTTGCAATAGTTATGATCATTCGTTATGAGTAAAGGTATGCATGAAAACGAACGCTTTATGTTCCTCATTTTCATTGAGCACAGCTTTATAGAAGTCTCCCATAATTGACGTCACTCATCCCCCCCCCCCCGATCACCCCTTCATTATAGGTCCTAAATTGCAGTCCTGCGTAACTTGACGTCACACTAACAGGCAGGGCAAAAAGGTAATTTTCGACATTACGACCATTTCGTGACGGCGAAAATGGGGGGAGGGGGGGGGGGGTAAGGTGAAGATAGGTAAAAAAAAACGTGACGTTATTTATGATTAAATCACTACATTAAAGGGGAAAAGCATGAAAATATGAAATGAAAATAGCAAACAAACAATAACACAAGCAATAACAATTAACTCAAAATAATATTTAAATAAACATTATATATGTAGAGGCACTAGAGGTAGCTCTATAAAAATAGGGAGTTTCTTAATGCATAAAAATTGCATCTCATAATAATAATTCTAGAACTGATGTTTATTGTCAGGCAATTAAATTGTTTAAAGGGCAGAATTTAAAAAAACAAAAACGCATGCTTTGTATTTAAACACAAGACAAACCTATTTAATAGCAAACATCAATACATTTCCATACAAATAGAAATGAAAGGGAAATGACTCAAAATAATATTCTTCTTAAGATGGCCGCTGTTTTTAATAGCAAATTAATTTAGTATCTGGACCATCGTTGTTAAACCTTAATTTCATGACATTTTTATTTATTTAACCCTTAAATTTGATTCAATATTCAATTATGTTTAGTATTTTAGTAGAATATGCAAAAATATATTCATATTTAAGCTATGAGTTACCTTATCCCTACATTACTAGTGACGACCGAATTGATTGCGCTAAAACGATAGATTACCTAATAATTCATATAATAATAGGCTACATAATGTGAAATAGTATTTCACATTTGTATTTTAATAATTTTTACTTTTACCATTAATCCTAATTACTAATTACTTAGTAATTATAAATAATAATTAATTTAGGCTAATACAACAATGGGTGAAACCTTAGTTTAGCGTCGTAAATTCGGCCAAAACTAGTAATGTGGGAGAGAGTAGTATATGTCTTTAAATATCAATAAATATTAAATATGAGTTTATTTTCGTATATTTTAATAAAATACTATATATAATTGAATAATAGATCATCATTGATGGTTAAATCAATTTAAATACCCTGAAATTAATTTTTATCAACCCTGTTCCCGATAGTAAATTTGCTATTAAAAACAGCAACCATCTTAAGAAAATGTTGTTTAGAGTAGCTTCCCTTTCATTTCTATTCGTATGAAAATGTATTTAAATATGATTGTCTTGTTGTATAGTTCGTCCTACACATTTATTTTTTAAAATTCTGCCCTTTAAAAACTGAATTTCCTAACAAACAACTTTATTAGTTCTAGAAGTATTGTGAGATGCAACTTGTATTTGTATCCATGTATAAAATTACGTTTTTTATACTAATGTTTATTTGATCATTACTATTATAGTTTGAAAATTGAATGTTTACTATTTTCATTTCAGGTTTTTCTTTTTATCAATTAGTGATTATATCATAACTTATGACATTTTTTTTACTTCTCTTTACCTTAATTAAACCCCAATCTCAAACATATTTTTGTTGTCAATGGCACAACAAGTCATAATGTAAAAAAATTACGCTTTGCTCTGCCTTATCTAAGATCTCTAGCCATAATTTTGACAAAAAAAAATATGTTTGTCATCATTTATATATTCAGAGAGACAAAATGTATTATCCACCAGCTTCCCTCGTAAAACATCATCTAAAACAATCAGCCACTCCACCCCTCAAATGCGTATTGTCATGATTACAAGTCTCCACTTTTCAGATACATTTTGGTTATCCTTTGTTGTCAAAATGTCAATATCAAATGCCAAAATGAATGATATGGGGTTGTCCATAAATGTAGTCACATATGATTTGTTACGGGAGTGAGTGAAGATTTTTTACGTCAACTCACGCGGCTCCGCAAATTATGACGTGTCGGTCTTATGAAAGGTGAACGGGGAAAAATACTTAGGTGATTGATGGAGAACCTCTATGATGCTATGTTCAATCAAAATAACGATAAATAAGTAGGCCTATACGTGTACCTTGCTCAAAACGAATCATCATAAATGTTGCAAGCCTGCTAGTTTGAGACATTTGGAAAAACAGCCTCAACACATATCCCCGTCAAAAACGCTTGCCACCAAATGCTTGCCGACGAATATGCCGCGTCTAAGTCGGGGCGTTAGGAACACGGCCTTCAGTGGGCTTCAGCATGGGGCCAGGGTCCGACGAACCAAACGGGGACGCGTTAGAGCACCCGTAGGCTATCGCGCTTTGTAAGATGCCGTAAATACTTTAATTCAATTTCGCGAAACTGCGCGAAAATTTAGTAATGTTCCATCGTTTCAGGAAATTTATTTTCTTGGACTTAAATTGAAATATCATGTTGACTGTCTGGCTCTTAATTTCCGAATATCACTTTTAATATATCTAGATTCAGAACTATAATTTACTTTAATGTAAGTGTCATCTTATCGTTTATTGTGCTTTTTATAAAGCGCAGAGCAGCTTCAAAATCGGACGGCCATCCCGTTTTCATTTCTTTTGGAGCTCAATATTGGTAGTCTTGTTCTATGCGGTGGGTGCTTAATACTTTTTTTAAAGGGCCTAAAGTCTCAAGACAGCAAGCTTGCAGAAATAACCACCTGTTTAAATGGACGAGGGATAGATGTGTGAGGGGCTGTTTAATTGAACACCAACATAAGTAATCAAATTAAGCGCCGCATAAGTGTCAAAATGGCAGTGCTTGTTTTTTTTTCTTTTCTATAAAATTAGCCAAACGGTCGCGGTACGGTACATGACGTCACGCGCGAGCGTTAACTCGGTGACGATGTGCAAAGTGGGGGAATGAAAAGGTGGGGTTCAAGAAATGCGACTCAGCATGCTTTTTACATTTCTTCTAAATAGTTCTATCGTCCCCACTGAGAAAATGGATCACCAATGAATGACGCGTCATACTTCTACAGCTGGTCTTTCTCCTACAACCATTCCGTTAGGCATAATGGTATAAATTATTAAAATACAAATGTGAAATACTATTTCATATTTGTATTTTAATAATTTTTACCATTAGGCCTAATCTAGTACTATGTACTATTCTAGGGTATCTAGGCCCAATTTTATGCATTTTTTTCAGTACTTTAACATTTGTTCAGCTGACTAATTTTAGAAAACTTTTAATTAATTCATAAAAAATTAATTAGGCCTAGTCATCCAAATAAGTCAAATTTGATGTCAGACTGCATTATTGTCTTTGGGTCTTGACCCAAGTGCCAACTTTGAAACGAATCAGTCTGTTAGAATGCCCCTGTGGCATGGCCCCAGAGAATGCAGAGCACGTCCTTTAGGACTGCTCCTTATACAGCCAGTTGCGATCCAAGCACTGGCCCCTATACACCCCACTCAAGGAAAAACTATATGGGGCACCTGCAGATCTGGAGACAGAGGCGTAGCGACCCTTCCCGGGGACAAACTTTCGAGATTTGCACCCCCCTCGAGCTTTTCATTTGCACCCCCCTCCTCGAACTTTTCATTTGCACCCCCCCCCCCCCTAAGGTCGGCGCCCAGGAACATATGACTTCCCCTCTCCCCCCCCCCCTCCCCCCCTCCCCGCCCCGCTATGCCTCTGTCTGGAGACCATGATTATATAACTGTTGGGGGCAGACAACACACTCGCGTTCCAAGTTTGTTCTCAACTTGTTCTTCATGTAGGCCTACTTCATTCTTGAAAATGTTTGTATGTTGTTCTAAAATTTGTAAGGTACTTCGATGCAAAAGTCTAAATATTTCCTTGGTCAAATACTTATAAAGCCCACCCACCCTTTTTAAAAATTGTCTTTAAGGAGGTCATTTGCTGGGCAACTGGACCCATCTGCTTCAATGATATTTGCACCTTATTCTATATTTTCAGTTTGTTTTGAATTTTTCCTTAACCACCCCCAACAAACATTTTTTTCTGTGGACGAAAAGATCTCTGAGGGCCGGATGAGAGGACTTCGCAGGACAAATCCGGCCCTCGGGCCATAGTTTGGAGACCCCTGATACCCGCCAATAGTTACAATGTTCTTTTTAAATGGTTTATTACATTTTATTTGTATGTTTAAGCTTTGTATCTTGAACAAAGGATGTCATTATTAAGTTTTCGTTTACAGTAATTTCTCTTAGTTGTTAATGCAGAAATTTACTAATATTTTTTTTTACATTTTGCAGACAATTTTAGAATGCAGAGTATGCAATGAAGTTTTTCGATTTCACGGGGATAAAGTGCCAAGACTTTTAATCTGTGGCCACACCTGCTGTCATCTGTGTCTAACAAGGTTACAATTGCATGGTAGATCTCTTCTTTGTCCTTTCGACAGACAACCTACAGAGATTGGAGATTCTGGAGTTTGGGGTCTAAAGAAAAATTTTGCATTATTAGAACTTCTAGAAAAGCTGCAATATACACCTGTCAGTCCTTCTAAATCAATCCCTGACATAATTTTGGCCAGGGAACAAAGTGTAAGTGTTAATTAGGAAACAAATTATCTTCATCCAAGTCTACTTGAAAATTTTATTTAGATGAAAAGTACAAAGTACAAAATAGTTACACATTTTACTAATATATATATATATATATATTTATATATATTTATATATATATATATATATATTAGATCTATATAACGCACATTAAAAAGAAATGGAAAAAGCCTTGCCTAGCTTGTATCATGTTGTCTTATTACAGATCTATTATTTACTGCCTTAATTTATTTGGTTATTGAAAAAGTTTGTCTGCTTGCGTATTTGATAAAAGATCATTAAGAATATATTGCATAAGTTCACATTAAAAAGTTTGAAACTATTTAATGTCAAAGTTGTTGGGTAAACAAAAGTGGTAAATATTAACAATGGTAGAGTAAATACAATTAATTATTTATTTATGATAGTGAAGGTAATTTAAAGGGCACTGTACTATTAACTTAGCTATGTACGTTTGTATTTAGTTTCCATTTTTTTTCTTTTTGTGCTAAGGGCCATGGTTTATGTAGATTAAAGTTTTAGTACTATGTTTATTATTTTCCTATGATCAGAAGCGAGATCCCAACTCCAGACCTTCTGCCCCTGGCAAGCAGCTGAACACTTAAACATTTGATCACGCTATCACTAATATAATAAATTCATACAATTAAAGTTTACAGATTAAAGGGTCTTACAGTGTGGTAACATTAGAGTGCAACATTGTGTAAAAAATATATATATATTACAGTCAAAGCCCGAAGTCAGCCAAAGCGCACATTGGCCAATATAGCCTCCCATTGACCGGTCAAAGTCCGAAACTTAACTTGATTTCGGCCTTTGGACGGCCAATCCGCGGACTGGCCATGGTGGACCGGCCAAAGTCCGAATTAGAAGATCATGAGCAGATTTAGGTTTTTTTTATACTGTAAGGATCACAAAATTAAGTTTTTATTGATTATTGATTAAAGTAAATGACAGAAACATTCAAATTATTTTATGGTACTATTTGGCATACTGCCTAGCTTCGCTTAGGTTTTCAAAAAAATTGTGGAATTGAATGATTAATTAAAAGGTGATTGGCTGCTATGTTAAATGCGTAGGGCCTACAGTTGAGTAATTTCATGTTGTACAAATATTGATGGAATATTCGCAAACTTATTACTTGCACGGTTATTAGAACTGCAAGGGGTTTCTTAATAGTATCAATCAAATATTATAATAAATTACTTTCGCAATTAATTTTTACAATTTCAGTACAATGCAAAACTTAATTTATAACAAAATATTTAATTAAAACAATGCTATACTTTATGATTTTTGTTTTTTTCTTAAAAAACGTATACAAAATATTTAAAAATTATTACATTATAAAGTTACCTCCCCTGTTCTTAGACCAAATGACCAAATCTCATATCAGGAGAATTTATTTCGCGGTCATTTTTAGCCCTCTTAGAGGGCTTTAAGTCTGACCAACAGTTTTTCCATAAGGCGTAGTCATCTATAGAGGTGTATACAAAAAATTAGCCAGATGTAAAGAGGGTAAGTACCCTGAAATCTTTGTTGAAATTACCCTCTGTTTTTCCCATAAAATACAAAGATTATATAGGGAAATACAACTGGTCAGTTTTGACCCATTTACCGAATTTTCCCGGACATGGCGAGTTTTTTGTGACACCAAAGGTGTTCTCCTACCACCTCACAAAATTTCAAAGGGGGTCGTCGGAGGAAATTTTTTTTCGTAATAAAGCTCATATAAAGATAATTTATCTCGCGGTCCCTTTTTAGCCCTCTTCGAGGGCTTTGAGTGAAACCGACAGTTTTCCCTAAAGGTCAAGCCATTTATCTAAGAGCATACAAAAAATTAGCCAGATGTAAAGACTGTAAGTGCCCTAAAATCCATTTTGAAATCACCCTCTGTTTTTCCCATAAAATACAAAGATTATATAGGGAAATACGACTGGTCAGTTTTGACCCATTTACCGAATTTTCCCGGACATGGCGAGTTTTTTGTAACACCCCAAGGCGTTCTCCTACCACCTCACAAAATTTCAAGGGGGGTCGTCGGAGGAAATTTTTTTTCGAAATAGAGCTCATATAAAGAGAATTTCACTCGCAGTCACTGTTTAGCCCTCGTCGAGGGCTTTGAATGAAACCGACAGGTCTGCCCTACGGCCAAGCCATTTACCTATAGGCATGCCAAAAATTAGCCAGATGTAAAGAGGGTAAGTGCCCTAAAATCCGTTTTCAAATTACCCTCTGTTTTTCCCATAAAATACAAAGATTATATAGGGAAATACGACTAGTCAGTTTTAACCCATTTACCGAATTTTCCCGGACATGGCAAGTTTTTTGTGACACCCCAAGGCGTTCTCCTAACTCCTCACAAAATTTCAAGGGGGGTCGTAGGAGGAAATTTTTTCGTAATAGAGCTCATATAAAGAGAATTTCACTCGCAGTCACTTTTTAGCCCTCGTCGAGGGCTTTGAGTGAAACCGACAGTTTTCCCTAAAGGTCAAGCCATTTACCTAAGAGCATGCAAAAAATTAGCCAGATGTAAAGACGGTAAGTGCCCTAAAATCCATTTTGAAATCACCCTCTGTTTTTCCCATAAAATACAAAGATTATATAGGGAAATACAACTGGTCAGTTTTGACCCATTTACCAAATTTTCCCGAACATGGCGAGTTTTTTGTGACACCCCGAGGCGTTCTCCTACCACCTCACAAAATTTCAAGGGGGGTCGTCGGAGGAATTTTTTTTTCGTAATAGAGCTTATATAAAGAGAATTTCACTCGCGGTCACTTTTTAGCCCTCGTCGAGGGCTTTGAGTGAAACCGACAGTTTTTCCTAAAGGTCAAGCCATTTATCTAAGAGCGTGCAAAAAATTAGCCAGATGTAAAGACGTTAAGTGCCCTAAAATCCGTTTTGAAATCACCCTCTGTTTTTCCCATAAAATACAAAGATTATATAGGGAAATACGACTGGTCAGTTTTGACCCATTTACCAAATTTTCTCGAACATTGCGAGTTTTTTGTGACACCCCAAGGCGTTCTCCTACCACCTCACAAAATTTCAAGGGGGGTCGTCGGAGGAAATTTTTTTTCGTAATATAGCCCATATAAGGCGCCGGTCAGTCGTGGTCAGTTTTGACCCCCTCTCCGTAGACTTTTCGGCCAATAGTCACTGGCTCTAGTGTTCTATCAGCCCAAGGCACCATCGTGCCAAATTTGACGCGCCTGCGGCACCGGGAAGCGCCCTATCGTGCACCTGACCACTTTGCTTTATATATATAGATAGTCTCAATCAAAATTATCACTTGTTGCAACAAGTTCAACTTTTATGGCATTTAGAACTACATATTAGCTTGTTATTTTTATATTAGCAACGATTTGTTGTGCATTTGGTTGTGCGCAGCAAATATAGCCTCCGGTCAGTGGTTGTAAAGATGCGATGGTTTGTAGTGATTTTTCCCTCAGTTTCAACGGACGGCAATGAGAGCCGTTTTTTTTTTGTGAAGAATTTAAAACTCACTTCTAGCATATAGTTGTTTTAGAACACCATGTTCCGTTCCTAGCTTGTAGAAAGCGCCCTTGACGCTCATGACAACTGCAATGTCACTACGGGGATCACTGCGACCTCTGTCAACATTGGGTATACGGATGCGAACATTATCTCCCACTTCATCTTGTTTAAAATTTGTATCTGATTTTTTTTAGCGTCTTGGCACCTTGAGTTTGCAAGCTAGTATGAGATGTTGACCTGTTGTCCATGATTTCTTGTTTATTGTGACATAATCTGCAAGTAATGTTCCCTCCGTAACTTTCGTCTGCTTCATTGGCTATTCTGCATATTGCATGGACATCGTTGCCACAGGATCCACAAGAATGGGCATCACTACAATATTTTTCACAAACTACACATAATCTATTGGCCATATTATTGTCACACAACTGGTCTGGACGTTCTGCCACAGCAGCATGTGTATTAGCTGAGGATGTTGTTGCATTTATGGCAACCTCCATTTCTTGTTCAATGTTCTCAAGAGCTTCCTCAGTAACTAAATTATCGAGAGCCTCTCTTGGTAGATTTGATATGTTAAGTCCTACTTTTGTTTTGCATCCAAACAAGGCTTTGTATGCAGATTGTTGAATTCCTTTTTTTTTAACATATTGGTTGGCACGTTCTACTGAACCTTGGCTTTGGCTATGACTTGGATTGCCGTGAAGTAGTTTAAGTTCAGGCCACATGTTCTTTAGTTCAGAAATAACTTGATTCACAAATTCTCTTCCAATCGGATTTGGATTATTTATTTTGGCAGCCATCTGGTATGTCTGTCACTTGGTCTGACGGTCCTTTTGGTCCATGTCGCATTGCATATAGATTGCTATACAAACAATCCGTTACAATGAAACCGCACCCAGAATTATGAAAATGCGATCACAACTTAGTCTAGATAGGACATCCCCGCCAGTTTTTGCGCATTGGCTGGCCGATGTATGAAATACTTTGTCATTTTTAAACTTATTCGGACTTTGGCCATCACGTCCTGGCCAGTGCACGCATTGGCTGGCCAATGTACGAAATACACTCTCAGTGCTAAGCTCTTTGGGCTTTGGCCAAGAGAGCCGGCCAATGCGTGCTTTGACCGTAACATATATATATATATATGCCTATGTATATGTGTGTGTGCAGAGGCGTAGACATGATTTTTTGTAGTAGATATAGAACTATGCTGTACGTGTAGAGTGTTCTATTGCACTTTCTTTTATTTTTTTTGTTGTTTCTTTTTGTTTACGTTAATGTTATACTTTGAAATTGGTTAGAATATTTGTGTAAGAAAAAAAAATATTGAGAAATGGCAGGTGACTTAAAGGTTAATTTTAACCTAGTAGTGGGAGGGGGGTCTGTAATTTTTTTTTTTTGACAGCGTGACGATGCGGAGGGGGTATAAAAAAATGTGATGTCACACTTTTGCATTAGCATGCTAGAAAATGAATTTTAGTATTTTTTACACATTTTAGATAACTGTTTAAAATGTCACAATTCCTGCTACATTTAAAAAATCTATGCTCTTTCATATCAAAGTTAATCATGGTTTGTGTGGGTGGGAGGGGTGCAATGGCAAACAGTTTTGTAGTGGTTTTGTAACCTAATGAGATGTTAATAACGTTACACAATAGGATAGATGTTTAAAACAGGAACTTGACATCAGACCCCTCCAATTAAATACCACCACGCCCCTCCCTTCTCTACAATTTCAACAAGGTCATTACCCTCCAGTTCAATTAGCCCTTTCAGGATCTTACCCCAACCTAAAAACTACAATAGGACATTACCTACCAATTGAAAATTACCTATGTAATGTAAATGGTAATATTTAGGATAGTATTTAATAAAGAATGGTTACCAGAAAGAGGCGCACAAAAAAGCACAAAGAGAAAAATGCACAACCAGAAAAAAGCTCAAACAGTAATTTGTGCACACAGAAAAATGGGCAAACAGAATAAGAGTTCAAAGGAAGAGTTTGTTAACTTTATGCGTCAATCTGGCACAGTTCCTAGGTCAAAATCACAAAGAACAACGTTTACACGTGTGATTCTGAAATTACATAAGCAGTGCAAGTATTTAAGTTAGGACTAAAGGAAATGACATTTACATGTATGAATTCTGAGTTGTGTAAGTGTAGGTTGGCTATTCACACTTATGTATGTGTTTTCTATGAATTAATGTCAGTAACCACGGCGAATAATTCTGCATTGAAATGTAAGTTTGATTATTTTTGTCTTTTTGACTTGTATTAGAAATTCAGGTGATGTTTTCTTGAATATGAAAGACTGGCCAGGTCTTACTTGTATTTTTTCTTTTGCTTTTAACATATAAACCTTTGTGACGTCAAATGAAGATAAATAAATGTATTAGCTCTGTGTTACTATCCGTTGGTAGGCGACAGGTGTTGGTGTAACTGTAGGTATATATGTAGGTGCAGGTGTAAGCTTAGTTATGCAAATCACCAATGGTCAAATAATCTATGATCAACACCCACGGTGAACAAACTGCCTGTGGACAACCCTTGGCTGTGGTCAAACAACATGTAGGCTTATCACCTTTGGTCTAAAAGCATCTATAATCGAAAAATCTTAGGAATTTATGATTCTATTTATTTTAGAAAATTATTCAGCATATATTATTAAATGAAAATATGCAGACATATATTTCTGTCTATTTATGCACATAGGCACGTGCAAACTCAAACATGCAGGCACACAACACGCACATTGCCATGATCTTCATTGGTGGGCGATCTGTTTAGTTTTCTGAGTGCTTAAAATTTTATTTGGGTGTTTTCTGTGTGCATACATTCCTCTTTGCACATGACAGTGTAGAAAGCTATATAGTTATAAATGTTTGTTTATTTATAAAGGGGCACAGTCTTTTCTGGTTCCATTTAGTATCAAAACCTTCTAATAAAAATATGGGTTGAAAATGTTAAAATTTAGAGGTGGCTTCCAAAGGTACTGTTTCCCCCAAAATTTGTGACTAATCTTTTTTCACAAATTCTAAATTTTTATTTTGCAGTTTTAAACAAAGTAAAATGTTTGCTTCAATACAGTTACAGTTGTATTAAATACATGCATAGCTGTTAAGTAAAACAGCATCACAATATAATGTTACAGCTCTTAATAGTCATTCAATACTCTTTTTGAGGTTATGCTGATGATATTTAACAATCTGCAAACAAATCAACTTCAAAAGTACAAACAACAAGCTAATTCTAAATGTCATAAAAGTTCATCTTATTGTAACAAATGACAGTATAGATGGAAGATATAGTGCAGAAAAATAATTTAATGTTTATGTCATTTAATTTTACTATTAATCAATAATAAAAACCTAATTTCATAATAGTACACAAACCACAGCATCTGCTCATGATCTTCTAATTCAAACTCTGGCTGTTCCCGCTAGCCATTCCACAGACTGACTGGCCAATCTAATAAAAAACTGTTTTGAGACAATCAAGAAGAATTTTGGACATTTGTCCGAAAAAGGGAGGTGCACACATCAACTTACTTTGTCCGTAACATACATACAAACACATTTATATTTATGTGTGAATAGATAGATATGTACAATATGTATTAAATTAATCTCCTTAACTTCATTTTTTATAGCTTTCAATCTGCTGTGATGAAAATGAGATACATACTGCTATTTTGTATTGCACTGTATGTAGCACACACTTGTGTGTCGAATGCTCAGAAACTACTCATTCAACTAGAACTTTAAGAAGACACAAAAGAGTACCACTATCAGAAAAGCCCAGAGAAAATCCCAAATGTGTTTATCATCCAATGCATCTTGTGGAATTCGCATGCATGGAGGAAGAATGCAAGTCATGCCCCCTTATGTGCTATATTTGCAAAGATTACGGACGACATATGAAACATAAGGTACCAAAGGAGCTGTGCTCATATAATGTATGTTGCAAACAGGGTTAGAGAGTGTTTTATTATACATACTACACAACAATAATACACACAACATTACACAATGTAAAGCAGTATATTGGATGCAATCATTGCTGTCATAGTCTATTAGAATGCAAACTTAAATGCTACCTTCATTTTTCTTCCCCTTTCTATTTTTACATTCCCCCACCCCCACTATTTCTATCCCAAATTCTACTTACTCTACCAACACATACACTGGCATCTTCAATCAGCCGCACTGCCTGATATTTCCTGAGGCAAATAGTGACTTATTCACACAACAAATTATAATATGTTATTATAATTATACTGGTCAGCGGTAATAGTTGCTAAACAAAAATAAGTGACTGTTTAAATGGGGTTTGTGAGGGATAGCGTAAAAATGTTAGTGGAATGTGCTGACCAATACTTGTGGTGTATGACATGTGCACTTACTTTTCATATTATATTGAAAACAGAAAATCAAGCCTTAACTTTATTGCAGTGTTTCTGTTTAATTAACAATTACACTAAAATTAGGACATACATTAATAATCTTAGGATAATAAATTACCACAAAATACATGCTATAAATTTAGTAACAATATTTTGAAGTTGGTGTAAAGATATTATCCACATCTGATGTAATTATGAGGCTTTACAAAATATAGATATTGGAAAGCAAAATATATTATATAGTGATAATAATTTAGATTAACTTCTGATTGTGACTTCATTGTCTTTTATATTACTTATCAGGTTATTTTATGTATGCTCATGGACAACAAAAATGATAATAAACAATATGATACAATAATGCAATGCTTAATCTCCAGCACACACGTCCATTCCACATCCTCTCATTGTCAAACCAACTGCATTACACTAACTTTTACACTTCAACTGTCAATCTCCACATGAGCACCTGTCATCCCATAAACACAACACACACAACCAATGGCTACAGCTATGTACAACAAAAGGTACCTGTCTTTTGATTACACAACACAATCAGTGGAGGCTATAAGTGAAGGACTCAACACTAGGAGTACAGGCACAGGTTATTAATTTATAAACTGGTACCTAGATCTGAATACTAACAGCAATCTTTCACTCTCAAACATATGTTAAACTTTTATCTTATGTTGTAAACCTACCATTTCACACACATCCACCTGCTGTGACTGTTTTAGCCATTATTGCATACGTCAGTTGTGTACTACCCTGGTTCACAGCATTAAAATATTATTTTTAATTGATTTTTTGAATAGAAAATGTATGAAAATTGTGTTGCTTGAATAGATTTTTTAAAATTGCAGCATGGATTATTAGAAACAGAAGCAGAAAATGTTCGCTCATCTATTAAAAGTGCAGTTCAGCATATTAAATCATTTGCTGAAGAAGTATCAGATTCAGTCAGAAAGCTTGGAGTTGTTGTTCAACAAATAGAGGGAAGTATGCAGATGGTACCCACTGATGGAGACTCTTCAACCCAGCTGGTAAATTTATATTATTATTGACAACTGATTTCTGGTAAGTTTAGATTTCTTTCAATTGAAATGTCAAATCAGCCATATTTACAGTTATCTTTTTTAAAAAGAAGTTTCAACACTTGTGTTATTTACTTTGTTCATAAGGTTCTAGGTACAGCAGAACAAGCAAGAATTAAGATTAAATCTTATTTTACTGAACTAAGAGAAAATCTAAGCAGGCAAGAAATGACTGCACTTGGTGCTGTAGACACACATATTAGAGAAAAGCTATGTTCTCTTAGGCAGCAGCAAGAAGATTTAGCAGTTTTGATGTCCCAAATATCGTCTGTATGCCATCAGTGTGAGACAACTTTACAACAGGTTGGTTTGTATAGACTTTTTTTCTTTCACATTATGAAATCATTGTATTTATTTTATAAAATTACTCTTTGCAGTAGCCTAAGCATACGATTAAGGGGAAACAGTGGGGATCCAATGTGAATTTATATTCCTACTAGCAGAATTACAGTGGTACCTTGAGTTATGAGTTTAATTCATTCCGTAACATTGCTCCTCAAATTGCTTGTATCTCAAAGCAGTTTTCTCAGTTGAAATTAATTTAAATGCCATTAATCCGTTCCAGTCCCTAACATGCCACTCCAATTGTTTATGTTGGATTTTTTTTTTATTAGTAAAGTATATTTATACATGACAAGTAGTGTTTAATAGCATAAGAAGGCACAGGTTCCAAAACTTTTTCAAGTGGCTACCCCTTTTTATAAAAGACGAGCGTACCCGACCCCTGCGCGTTACTGCGGGGATAGAAGAAAGTTTGACGAAATATATTAGGATTTCACCAACGCGTTATCAATTATAATTATTTGTTCTTAGACGCGTGACCTTCTTTTCTAAAAATGAGTTATTTAAATGTAAACAATGCCTGTTCTTGGATCATAAATATCAGGACACGGGTTTACCTACACTACCGCCTGAAAACATTGAGTGTACATTAATCACTCACCGAAATAATATGGTAGAACACACTTCGGTGACCGCCTCTGTGTCAGAGACGTAGAGGGGCGCTCTCAGAGCCCCCACCCCCGATTACACTACCGCATAATTGCGGCGTACGACCCCTGGCTCCTTAAAACTAACAGGTGCCATCGGCCTAATAGCATCCTGTTAATAATGATGCAGATTTCGTTATTCGCTAAAGTGACGAACAGGATTTTTTTCTTTAACACGTAAAAAAATTATTTGACGTGTTTTAAATATCAGTGTGACTGATGCAATATGCTAACGTTACTAATGGTCTATTATTAGATGCTCGATCTCAATTTCTGACTGGATTGTCTAATAATAGATGCTTATTGCATCATTCGCAAAGTGACGAAACTCTACAGTAGGCCAGTAGGATCCTCATATTCAAAAAGTTATTTTTTCATCTTTCGCAAGGTGACGAAACTGTACAGTACTGAATATAGTAGTACCCCTTACTCGCTATGCAGGAAGCTCGATTAACGGATGCCAAGTGCCAACTTAGTCGCTCTAAAACTCTGGGCGCCAAACCGTGTATTGACGAAAGTTGTACCCTATATGGCGCCGCTCGCAAGAAACTTTAGTTTTCTTTTTCGCAGAAATATTCTCTGGATTATTCTCATCTACTCCCTAAAGTTTCATGGCACTCGGATGAAACGCATCCGAGTTTTATTTTTTATATACCGTGTATAGAGAAAAAAAATCGCTTCCCCCGGGGGGCACCGCCCTTGAAATATTGAACAATATTTTTTTGCAGAACCCTACCATTGAGTGATCTAATCATCTCCCCAAAGTTTCATGGTACACGGATGAACGGTGTGAAACCGAAATTTTATAAACCGTATATAGAGAAAAATCGCAGCCGCCCGTGGCGCCGCCCTTGCGAAATAAAAATTTTTTTTTACAGAACCCTTCCCTGAATTGTTCTAATCAACTCCCCCAAAGTCTCATGGCTATCGGATAACGGTGTCACACCAAAATCAACTTATTTTTATAAACCGTATGTAGAGAAAAATCGCACCCTCCCGTGGCCCCGCCCTTGCGAAATTAAAATTTTTTTTTACAGAACCCTTCCCTAGAGTTTTATAATGAACTCCCCAAAGTTTCATGCCTATCGGATAAACGGTGTCACTGCAATTCACTTTTATTATTTTTATATACTGTAAATAGAGAAAAATCGGACCCTCCCTTGGCGCTGCCCTTGCGAAATTAAAAATTATTTTTTTACAGAACCCTTCCCTAGAGTGTTCTAATCAACTCCCCAAAGTTTCATGCCTATCGGATGAACAGTGTGAAATCAAAATAGACTTTTATTTTTATATGCCGTATATAGAGAAAAAACAAATCGCGCCCTGCCGGGGCGTTTGAAATTTTTTTTTTCGCAGAAACCTCCCCAGGAATATTCTCAACAACTTCCCAAAGTTTCACGGCGATGTGATAAGAGGTGTGGTAATGCATAAAAGACACACAGACACACACACACACACACATACATTGCATTTTATATATATAGATTAGTGACCCGCAACCCCCATAGAATTAAAAAGTCGAAATTAGTAAGGAAATTAATAAACACCAGAATAAGATTTTTCTAGTATACTTTTAATTGAAATTATTTTTGATAACCGTTTTAGTGTGCTGGGTGTAAGTGCATACTATTAACTAGCCTAAAAAATCGCAGATAAGTTTTTGATAACGCCAACCAGTCTCAACATTTAATTTATTTCTTTCTTTGTTTTTAATTGGAGAAGTGATGAAAATCCACTCTCGCAGAGATATGTAGACACAAAAAGAACTAAAACTTGAAAGGCAATCAATGTCACGTTTTGTATAATTGGTGCATACTACACCAAAATTGCGTGAGCAGGTTTTCATTAAACACACAACGTGTTGTGATTCATTGGGAATGCTGGCAACATCAAGGGAAGTAGAGACTGGGTTATGTATCAATTGAGTTTCTTCTTCTTTCAGCTCAGGGAAATAACGCAGCTCTAAAAATAAGATCAACATAAATTTTTGTTACTTCATTAAAAAATAATGTAGCTAAAATGTAATGAGGAGGGTTCTACAGCAACCAATGCTTAATGAGTAAATTCTTATTAAACATTTTAAAAGCCTGCTTGTTTTATTTATGCTGATTTAACTCCAGCTTTAAATACAATAATTATCTTTTATTTTTTTTTATTTAAAAATAGGCATAACACTTAATGTTGATTTTATCATACTTTTTATTTACAGGATGACACTAGAATACTGCTGGCTAAACCTGAAGTAAGCAATTTGCTGGATACCTTACAAAAGCAACAGCAGCAATTTATGGATCTTCCAGACCATATTAATCTAGAACCAACAATACCAATTACATTTACTAAGGTATTGAAAAGATCCATTATAGTCAGACTTTCTTTCAGGCATCTCCCCGAACATAATAGAATTTATATAGAACATGTATATGTGTGTATATATATATATATATATATATGGTGACAGGACAAATGATCTCAGGACAAATGATCTCAGACAAAATATCTCAGACAAAATATCTCACGGACAAATGATCTCAGGACAAATGATCTCAGGACAAATGATCTCAAGGACAAATGATCTCAAGGACAAATGATCTCACGGACAAAAGATACCAGGACAAAATATATCAGGTCAAATGATACCACGGACAATTGATCTCAGACAAAATATCTCAGACAAAATATCTTACACCTAAATTTTAATAGTGTATGGGGTGACTTTAGTTGATCTGAACATTTTTTATTAACTGTCGTATGGTTTTGTTTAATATGTTTAATATTGTTTATAATTGTAAGAAATGTTTGCCGTATAAATTTATCATATTGCACTTTTAAAATTGTATATTGCATTTTAAAATTAGGATTATTACTATAGAAGATTGAAGAAATTGTTCTATAGACAGCGTAGGCGGGCTTGCCAAACATGAGATGGTAGAGACATGCCTTAAGGGAAAGACATCCGCCCTCCATGAACAATACAACTAATAGCTAAATTCAATAGTTATGCGTCTGTCATACCTTAGTGATCAGGTGACCAATGCTTATTTAAGACAAACAGCGGTCATCGCGGAGTTAGAACATGTCGAGCAAGAGTTCACACAATACATGATCACATAGTATTGGAGAGGTGTGATCATAACGATGTACTGTCAGCAAGAAACGTGAACGTTATGTTTGTATTGATCATGCAATAAAAACAATAATTTTACGTTATGAACCTAGAGACCCATTAACATTTTTGAAAGATATTTCGCATGTTTAAACATTATTGTTGTATAGCTACCGTTACTTTGTTTTATACATTATCATTTATCATACCTTTCAGGCTAAAGGAGAAAGTTTGTTTTAATTTTTATTTTTTCAAATCAAAGGCCATTACAAAGATAAAGTTAAATAAATCTTTTGATGGTTTGTTAAGTTTAACAAATTCATTTTATTCACAATTATGATGCTTAAAGAAAGTAAACAAAACCATATTGACAGTCAATTTAAAAAAAAGTTCAAATGAACTAAAATCATTGTAGATACTATCAACATTTTGCTGTGAGATATTTTGTCTAAGATATTTTGTCTGAGATCATTTGTCCTGATATATTTTGTCCTGGTATCTTTTGTCATTGAGATCATTTGTCCTTGAGATCATTTGTCCTGAGATCATTTGTCCTGAGATCATTTGTCCTGAGATCATTTGTCCGTGAGATATTTTGTCTGAGATCATTTGTCCTGAGATCATTTGTCCTGAGATCATTTGTCCGTGAGATATTTTGTCTGAGATCATTTGTCCTGAGATCATTTGTCATGGAACCATATATATATATATACATATATATATATATATACATATATATATATATATATACATATATATATATATACATATATATATATATATACATATATATATATATATATACATATATATATATATACATATATATATATATATATACATATATATATATATATACATATATATATATATATACATATATATATACATATATACATATATATATACATATATACATATATATATACATATATATATATATACATATATATATATACACATATATATATATACACATATATATATATATACACATATATATATATATATACATATATATATATACATATATATACACATATATGTACACACATATACGTACACACATATACGTACACACACACATACGTACACACACACATACGTGCACACACACATACGTGCTCACACACATACGTGCACACACACATACGTGCACACACACATACGTGCACACACACATACGTGCACACACACATACGTGCACACACACATACGTGCACACACACATACGTGCACACACACATACGTGCACACACACATACGTGCACACACACATACGTGCACACACACATACGTGCACACATACATACGTGCACACATACATACGTGCACACATACATACGTGCACACATACATACGTGCACACATACATACGTGCACATATATATATACGTGCACATATATATATACGTGCACATATATATATACGTGCACATATATGTACGTGCACATATATGTACGTGCACATATATGTACGTGCACATATATACGTGCACATATATACGTGCATATATATATACGTGCATGCATATATATATACGTGCATATATATATATATATGCGTGCATATATATATATATATATATATGTACATATATATATACGTACATATATATATACACACATATATATATATACACACACACACTTTTACCAGTATCCTCTCCCCTCAAAATTTTTGTTTTGTCATGTCGTCGTCCCCTGAAATTTTCATTCTTGAGAATTTGCTGAATGCCAGGCAAAAAAGATGTTGCTTCTTATCACAAGGCAGCCCACTTTAACATCTTTACATCTTAATACCTGATGGTTGTTGGTTGTCAACCACAAATCTCCATTGTCCTTGGCATTCTTGACAGCTTAACTATAACCTTCACTAAAGGCGGCAGCTTCAAGTTGCCATGTGTTTTATTGAGGTCAATTATCTGCTATTACCTTTTTAATTGTAATGTGCCTCATAGAAATATTTCGTGTTATGTCCTTTCTAACTAGAAGTTGCAGGTCAACTTATTAGAGCAGTGCTGTACCTTTAAGTCTGTGCTCTAAATAATAACATAAACAACAAAGTGGAAGCCTTCTTGCCTAGTAGCTTATGAACAACGACCAGTCTTTTACTAAGATTGACATCATGATGCTAATGGAGGAGCTCTGGATCACACAATCACAATGGCGCCTGAGTTTGAACATTAATTCAAGTAGTATCCTTTACCCCCTGTGCATGATACCAAATCAGCAGATCCCAGGAGCTACAAATACTACCTACAGAATACTACCTCCAGGGCGTCACCCCTGTGATGTTTAAACATTTGTGCAAGAAGCTTTAGCATAGGAATGCATGGGTGAGATTGTGTGGGAAGTAGACAGAGAGATATAAATAACAGCAGTTTTTAATAAACTATTTGTTTCTCTTTAGGATAATCGTGTTCATATTGGACCAAAAATTGAGATGAGAGTTGTCACATTGGGACTTGATGGGGCAGGAAAAACAAGTATCCTATTTAAATTAAAACAGAATGAATTTATTCCCACCATACCAACAATAGGTATTTATGTCATTAAAAATTCATTCTCTAGTTATTCATGTGGAGAATTTTAGTATGGCATTTATTAGGATTGCAGCGGAACAAGCACAAAGAAAAATTGTTTGCTCTTTTCAAAAAGAAATCTTAGGGGTTATTGAATTTGGAGGAAATTATAATAGAATCTGGTAATAACCAGTTGAAAATAAATGATTTTCTTGAAATATATAATAAAGCACTACTTAAACAACTATAAAGAAAACAGTAGGTTGCTCTTAAATCTTAGTAAATGTATTCGATAGTTAATAAAAAAGTAAAGTAAAGTTTCCTTTTCAAACCTGACGGTCTATGGGGGGAGTGAAGTAGAGTTCACTTGTTTCTTTGACCTCGGCATATGAAGATATAGTGTGGTCAGCACTATGCCCAGCCACCTTTACTTTCCCTAACGTGAGTTAGGTACCCATCAGAGTTGGGTTGACTTAGCGACGGTCAACTGACTTAAACCCGGATTCAAACTTGAGACTTACGGGTTAGCAGTCCAGCTCTCTACCACTAGACCACTCTGTCCCATACGATAGTTAATAAAGTGACCTACATTTTTCTTTATTCTTATTTAAATGATGCATTATATATTGAAAGAAAATCATTTATTTTCTACTTTTTAGTGTATCTATGTCTATAAAATTAAAGTAGGGTTTGTTTATTCCTAACACCTGAATTAAATAAGTAATATGTAGGTAAGTTACAGGGAAATTGTTCCTGATACAGTTTGCTGTTCACTCTCATTTCAACAGGAAAATTAGAGCCATCTCAATAATTGATTTTAAAGTGACAGAAAACTGACCTAGGCTGACAGTGGTTTTTATAAACTATACATCTTTTTAAGTGCTAGAATTAGACCAACCACTTGCAGAAATGACTAAAACTTGATATTTGGTAAGGAGATAACTCTCTGCTGTAGGCTTTTGGAAAAATACCAGATTCCCTGAAATATCATATTACAGGTTTGAAAAAATTGACCTTAAACCACTTAATTTTACCTATTAAAGAGATAGGCTGCAACAAGCATTTAAACTTTTTATTTCTTTGACACAAATGCAAACGAAGAAAACATTTGTGTAAAACAAAAATTTTAAATTTACAGTAAATTGTTTTCAAATAGTTGTGAAAACTAATTAATAATGACTAATAATTATTTTTTTGTATTGATAGCTGATGTAAACAAATCAAATACATCACAGATAAACAATGAAGTTTATTCATGTGTTTAATGCACATTTCCCAAGGCACAATAGTATTTACTTCCCATTAGGGCATTGCAATTTTATTTTAAACACTGCTATATGAAAAAGAAATGCAAATAATTTTGACCTAAGGTCTTCAAAGTCAAATTTATTTGTATAATTAATTCACTAAACTTGTTCAATCTAAAATATTAATAATACTGCTGCTATAATAACTTATTGTTATTGTAAAATAGATAAAGTTTTAAAAATGTAACATCAGTTTTTGAAATAATAACGTGGTTCCCTTAAAAAAGAAAATTAAAATCCATATTTTGTTGTATTAAATTTAATCATAAAATTTGGTCATGATTTGTGCGGGTAAAATGTGATGTGCAAAGCCAAAACGTTACATAGAGATGTCATGGCCAAAGCCGATATTACATAACATTACAGTGGTAAGAGTTGTTTAAAAATGGGATCTTGACACTACTCCCCTCCCATTAATTACTCCCAGTCATTTACCAATGTCATTACCCCCTGTTAATTACCCCAACTCCGAAGACATTGCCCCGACCCAAAAACTGCAGTACGACAGCAGTAGCGGCAGTAGCAGTAAATGTATTAGTAGCAATAATGATAGGATATAATAAAGAATATAGATAGAATGTAGATTAAGGATAAGCAAATGGTTTTGGTTAGCAACAGCATATTGTGTAGTGGGGTAATTACATAGAGCGAAGATGAGGTGGCATTTATGTTTAAGTAGATATGCTTTATACTATGTTATCATATCGCATATATTATATATATATATATATATATATATATATATATATATATATATGTAAATTATTTTCATCTATATATATAATTCTCTTCTGGGAGACGCTAGAAAACAAGCAGTAAACGCGCTCCCTACCATCCCCACCCCTAAATGGTCTTAGTGAGCTGTGGTTCACGCTATGTTTACCTTCGTGGAGTCGGGTTTAGTGATGGCTATTAGGGGCAGATAATTTAGTTTGAAACGATTTTTAACGTTTGGGGGGGGGGGGGGGGGGGGGGTTATGGTCCTTAATGAGCTACTTATAGTGTTTGAAAGAAATATTTTCAGTGTCAGCGTTGGTACTGTCGAATTCACAAATTATGAATTACTGAAAAGTAGAAAAACAAAACTAAATAGCGGCGCATGTTATGCCGCGGGCCGGCTCGTTGGTTTTTATTACGTTAATGTTGCACTTTTGCAATTGTTTGCTTTTAGGGTGTAAAAAGCTAAATAGTATTACTTGATACTATTCTGATATTTTATTTTTGTATGGTTTAATTGTATCGTATGGGGTAGTTGATCACCAGGAGAGGGAATGTAAGTAACAAGCAGTTTTCTGTTTAAGCTTATTGTATTTGTGTTGCAAACCTTGATCTTGAGGAATGGCAAGTGATGTGAAGGTTAATTTTTAGAATCATGTGCTGTATTTGAGTGTAGCATTATGTATCGCTCTTTAATTTTTCTTGAAAATATTTTGTAAACAAACATACACATGCATGTTTTAAATTAGGACATTGTTATAAATGGCTGGTGCAAAGCTTAGCCAATAACAGCCAGTATTTATATAAAAACATGTTATTACGTTTTTTATTAATTTTTTTCAATACTTTCAATTTTTTTAAATACATTAGAATTGTATGAGTAAAAAAAACTATGCATATAACTAACACAAACAGTGTGTATAATACTGCAAGAAAATAGTAATTAATATAGGAAAATGTAATTGATTGGATGCTTAATTGATTTTTATGTCAAATTAGATGTCACAATTCTTCGCATTGGTCCATTAGAAGTAGTCAAAATTTCGCTTGTCCGTTTTGACCCTTGACGAAGATACAAGTCAAAAGCACCACATAGATAGCAAGTAAAATAAAATCTTGTAAAAATTAGCTTAATCAAATGAAAATATTTAATATTGAATCATTCTCAGCATTACTAAGGTTGATTTCAAATCTAAAATTATTTTCATTAAAATTTTAATTTTTAAAATCCTATTTATTAAATCTTTAAAAACAATCTTCTTTTTTAGCCAAGTAGACCTATTTAAAAAGATGATGCTACAAAAGTGTAGCTTAGCAAAAAGATATTGTATTTAATTCTAAAAGTAGTTGCAAAACAAGCTCTGTGCTTCAAAATCCCAATGTACAAATACTTGTTAAGGTATAAGCTAGTTTAATTTAGTTTCGTGGTCCTTTGTTTGTGTAACAGATAGAGTTGTGTATGTATATATCTTGTCTATTTCCTGGAAATGTGAAGGTGTATTAATAATTTTTGTCCAGCCTGTTGAGGTAGAAATTTTGTTCTAGGACTAATTTCATTTGTTGCAAATCATGACCTACTAGACCTAGTTATAATGTAAATTGATTGTATAGACCAATTGACTGAAACATCTGCTTCTTAGTATGCATACAAAGATCCTTCAGAACTCTAATTATATATTATAAATAGATCATTATCAACATCAGCTGTAATTTTGTGGTTTTATTGCTTATGACTATTAGTGATAAATTAGTATACGAATAGCTTACTTAATAGCCAAAATTATTTATTCTTGAATTCAATAATGCAAATACAAACTAGAAGATGGTTTCTCATTTTTACTTAGATGTAATAAAATGCAATATTTTCATTGAAGTCAGCTATTTTAAGTAACATTGCTAGATCAACAGTGTTTATATGATGTTTCAGGGTGAGAAAATATAAGAAATAGAATAGTTATTGTGTATTTATTGCCAACAGCAGTGATTACTGATAAGGCCAATTTTTAATTGTTGTAATAGCTAGTCAAAGTGACAGATCAAATTCCAAGAAAATATCAAACCTTCCTGTACTTTCTGAGTCCTTATTATAATGCCATTTTCTAAAAAGCATATATATATATATATATATATATATATATATATATATATATTTAGATATAGATATATATATATTTAGATATAGATATATATATATTTAGATATATATAGATATATAGATATATATAGATATATATAGATATATAGATATATATAGATATATAGATATATAGATATATAGATAGATAGATATATAGATAGATATATAGATAGATATATAGATAGATAGATAGATAGATAGATAGATAGATAGATAGATAGATAGATAGATAGATAGATAGATAGATAGATAGATAGATAGATAGATAGATAGATAGATAGATAGATAGATAGATAGATAGATAGATAGATAGATAGATAGATAGATAGATAGATAGATAGATATATAGATAGATATATAGATAGATATATAGATAGATATATAGATAGATATATAGATAGATATATAGATAGATATATAGATAGATATATAGATAGATATATAGATAGATATATAGATATATATATAGATAGATATATAGATATATATATAGATATATATATATAGATATAGATATAGATATAGATATAGATATAGATATAGATATAGATATAGATATAGATAGATATAGATATAGATATAGATATAGATATATAGATAGATAGATATAGATAGATATAGATAGATATAGATAGATATAGATAGATATAGATAGATATAGATAGATATAGATAGATATAGATAGATATAGATAGATATAGATAGATATAGATAGATATAGATAGATATAGATAGATATAGATAGATATAGATAGATATAGATAGATATAGATAGATATAGATAGATATAGATAGATATAGATAGATAGAGAGATATAGAGATATATATATATATATATAGATATATATATATATATATATATATATATATATATATATATATATATATATATATATATATATATATATATATATATATAGTGGACTGGATAGAAGCAACTGCTGTACAAATATAATTTAAAATGCAACCTTAACAAAAGTTAAAAACATTGTCTTAGATTTCATTTACTGAATTATAATTCTCTACCATTTAAAATCAAAATTTGCACTAGACCGACTATTCAAGACTATTGTTTGTGGATAATTGCATATGTATGTGATATATTGTTGATTTGTTTTTAATACCTGAAATGATAAAAATGTAAGATGTTTTCAGGTTTCAATGTAGAAACTGTGGAGTATAAAAACTTCAAATTTACTATCTGGGATGTTGGTGGACAGCACAAAATTAGACCATTATGGAAACACTACTATTTTAATACTCAAGGTAGGTTTGTGATTTGCTTGTACAATTTAAAAATTGGTACTTACACATAGGGACATGCTTGAGTAGGATAATCAGATGTCATAGCACAAAACTTGGGGGCTCATTGAATTTAATTTACATACTAGTGTGCAAAACTATCTTGCAAATTGCTTGTATAATGATTCCTTAACCCTTTGAACCCTTAACTCATGACCCCAAAATTTCCATTCTCCTGAGCTAATTGCAAACCCTACAGACTCTCGATAAAAAATGTAAGACTACAAATATAACACAAAAATTAATTTTATTATTTTAATAATTAACATTGCGTCAAATAGGGGTTAATGACACAAGGCTGACACAACAAAAGACTGACATGGAGATAAAGTAGACAATTGGGCCAAAAGGTAGACACCCAAAAGGACAACAAGCAAAAAAATCCTAATATTGCAGTTGTGACCTACTGAGGTCTTTTTTCTTTATTTATATTATTTAGTCTCCTGAGTTTTGTGATTGACCTTGGGAGAGTTGTTAGCTCTTCGGTTCTCATCGGTCAACTGAACTCCGTCACGTCATGTGAATGGATTGTTTAATCCCTAGCAGACCCTCGACCAATGATCTTGCGACCGTGAGGATCCTTAACAGATCCTCAACCAATAGTCGTAGGACTTTTGAGTGATCTCCCCTAATACTGAGCTGTATTTAATCTCGTGCAGTTCAAGTCTAAAGGCAGCTAGATTGACCTTTGGACTAGGAGAGAGATGTGCCGTATGTTTTGTGCGCCATTTTCAGTTGTGTAGTTTGTGGCATATTTTATCACCTTATATAAGGTATTGTGTGACCATTTTTAGTGTTACTGATATTTTGTTCTGGTGTATAATTGCACCCTTTGTCACATCGGTGATAGGTTGACCTTTTTTTGGGTTTCTATTGTTGTAGAGGCAATATGTCTCTTATTAATATTTGTGGTATTTATAATGCCATTCAGTTGTGTCAAGTAATGTTCTTTAATGGTGTTTAATATACTAAGCCACAGCTGTGATATATAGTGATTTTCTTTAACTGTAAGTTGGAGTTTTGAGTTTATTGTACTCTTAAAGTCTGTACATTTTGTACAAACCCAGTGTCGTAGTTTCTTGTACACTTATTAAAAGGGTATTGACAGTTTTAAGTCGTGTTGAGTCTCTTCAATTTGTCGTGTTTTACCCCTAGACATCAATAATAAGCTCACGTCAAGTTGTTGGGGTTTCATTAGTAGTGACTTCTGTCAGTGCCATCCCAAACGAACCCGGGGTGTCCGCTCCCTCCGCGGCTGTCGGAGAGCGGCCATTACACAGTGTATAAGGGATAAATAGGTAGTTGGCAATATCACCATATTTAGAGGAGCAATTAAAGAAACTAAATGAGATGCACCTGGAGGCACCATTTTTTAAATCAATCAAATTTTTGGAGCAGATTAAGCTTCGTGCACTTGGATTTGTAAATATTTTCTTTCATAATTTTTTATTGAAAACTTTTTGGCCTTATAGTATGTGGGCCTTTTGAGTGACTGCCTTTTAGATTTTGGCCTTATTCTCTCTGTATAAAATAAGTCCATTCGGTCATTTTAATGGCTCTTTTTTAGATGTTGACCTTTTATCTTGTCAGCCGTTTGACCTTTCCAGTCTTGTCCAAGTCAGCTTTTTGTCTGTGTTGGTCTTTTGTCATTATCTGCCTTTTTTCTGGATCCCATTGAATAGCACAAGTTATGTACTTTTTAAATATTGCATTTTTATGTCCAAACTGTCAATCTGATGTTAGGTATCTAATACCACTTTATCTGTGTCTTGGGGCATGGAGATTTAAGTACCAAAAAAGTGCTATCTTGGGTTCAAAGGGTTAACGTAAATTTTTAGAGGAAATTTCAGACTTTAAAATGAAATCAAATGCTATTTTTTTATATTACACAGAACACTTTATCAATACCAGTATCCAGTGTTTCTTTCACTTTTTTCTCAGGGGGGGGGGGGGGGGTGGGGGGCAAGAAACTCTGCCAGTATCAGCAATGTGTTTTTTGGGTGACTTTTAAACCCAGAAAAATCATCTCAAAAGTCTGAGGTTGTTTTTTATTTTTTAAATTTAATTCTACACCAGAGACAGATTGTTCTAGCCAATTATATATTAAGACTAGTGTTTATGGTTTACTTATATATATATATATATATATATATATATATATATATATATATATATATATATATATATATATATATATATATATGCTTACCTTTAGTTTAAGTTTAAGCATTAACTTTTAAAATATTCCATTATTATTGTCAGCTTTTATTTTAAATTACATTTTCTTCTCTCTTTTCTTTTAATTCCCAGTAGAACTTATGCCATTTAGAATAAATGTCCATGCTTTTATTAAATGTTTATCAAAACTGTTTGTACTTGCAGCATTTATAAGTACACCCACTGTATGTCTTGACCATAGGGGCTTTGACCATAGGTGGTTTACCCACATGTAGTTTTTATAATATAATAATAACAATAATAAACTGTTCTCACTTAACTAATATCCATTAATGATGCCATTAATACAATTTTATATTCAAAGTTTCCTTTAAGTTTCCATTAGCAGAAACTACCCTTTTTTAAAGAGTAAATTATATCTATAACAAGTAATTTGACATGTAAAAAGTTTCACAAATACATAATGTACATCTACTTGAAAATAAAAAGCACATATAAATGATAAAAAGCAAGCCTATAATATAGTTAAAGAAATAAGGCAAATGATTGTTCTCAAAATGGTTAAAGAAAAAAATGTAATTTAAATATTTACATCTAGATTAGATTTTTATGGACTTGTGCAACTTTTGACTTGAGTGGTCTAGATGACTTATATTTATACATAATGAATAATCATGTAACCCTCACTCAATGGGAATGCTTTTACCCACTGAGGTGTTGTGGTTAAGACGGGCTGACCCTGAGATTTAAGACACACTGACACCGACAGTTGTTGTCAAGTACTGGCTTTATTCAAAAACCAAAAAGAAAACAGAAGAAAAAACTGTAGCCCTAAAACAAATGTAAAGAAAGTTACATTCATGATAACACTATGTGTAGGCTACAAACATACACGGGTACAATAAAATATGTTGCGGCCAGTACACAGTACTGCCAACAAGTACCAATAAGTAGTACAACAAAAAATACTTAAATAAATACTCAACTTAACTAGTGTGCACATGCAGCACTAGCAGAAATACACAAATAAGTATTCTAACAATAACCATAATTTATATACCCACACTACCTTCATTAGGTCTACATCTTGGTACCGTCACCGTGTCCACAGACAGCAGCCTTGCGTGCTGACACGGCTAGGCACGAAACTACCCATGTCACATGACATGGGACACAGGTAAAATCGCTCACAAGAGCACGCAACACAACTACATCAACAGGGCTACGGCCCCACAGGGGCCGCAACTCAATGAATTAAAACTTTATTTGTTATCCCCCTTGGCTGGTAACCATACGTGTTACAATCATATTATTAAATCATACAGCACCTTAAGATATAATTACACTTTTTATCCCTTAATTAATTAATCTTTACCTGTATGGGCAAAGTACCTGTGATCAAAGAACCTCTGTGGACGAAGAATCTCTGTGGACGAAGCACTAATGGTCAAAGCACCACTGTGGTCAAACTACTTATCGTCAAGGCCCCTGTGGTCAAAGGTCAGCTTAGCCACTGATCATTAGTAACAGAAAGCTATTTTACCTAAAAAATTACATAATTCACCAAAGAGTTAACAGAACCATGTTCCAATAAATGGAATTATTTATTACGCTGCTTGTTAATTTAAAATGTAAATGCTCTTAACTTAAACACATTTTTCTATTTTTATATTTTAAGCTGTAATATTTGTGGTAGACAGTAGCAATAAAGAAAGGTTAGATGAAGTACAAGGAGAACTTGTAAAATTAGTACAAGAAAAAGAACTGAAGGAAGCTTCACTTCTAATTTTTGCTAACAAGCAGGTAACTGGTTATGTTTCTAAACTTATCCGCATGCAAAATAATTGAGTAATAAAATAAATAATTTAAAAACCTATATAATATTAAGTATGAAAAATAACAAAACAGGCTTCTTTTTTTAATAAATTAATTGATTGCTAAAATAAAGAGTTTTCACTTGCAAGGAATGCTTTTTTATTAAAGAAAATATTTAAAAAAAAATATTTTCAGAGCATTTTAAAGCTTATTATTACTGGTCCTATTTCCATCTATATTCTCATATAACCCCAGGATGTTGCAGAGTGTATAAGTATTGAGGCAGTCACAGAACAATTTGGTCTTCTCAAACTATGCTGCAATCGAAGTTGGCATCTCCAAGCCTGCGATGCAAAAACTGGGCAAGGTCTTGCGGATGGATTAGAATGGTTATCACGTCAAATGGTTGCATCTGGTGCACCAGAACTAGCTTAAAAGAAAAACTTTATGACGTAGTCTACCTGTTTTATTACTACCTTTATTAAGGGGGCCATCCATTTAAGACGTCCACAAAAAACTCGTATTTTAGACCCCACCTCCCATCCATCCACACGCGTTGACATCCACAAAATTTAATATACCCCTCAAAACTTATGAACAATTTACTTCTTTGATAACACGTAATGTGTACCGATATTCTATTTACTTTAATATTTTAATGTTTATTTTTAGGCCTAAATATTAAAAGTAGATGTAGCCTATGCAGAGAAAAATTAGTAGATTTTAAATGTGAAAGTATAAATTTTTTTTAAATTTCAAAGATTTTTCCCATTACCAACCATTGGGGGGGGGGGGGGGGGGGGGGGGGAGAGCACTAACACGGTATAATTCTCTGTACTCGTTGATGTATTTTAATGGTTAATATCAGCATTTATAAGATTAAAAAGTCACGAGCAGAGTTTCTTCCAGGCATCTCTTCGGAGGGAGGGGAATTTTTAACCCCCCCCCCCCCCCCCGAACGAAATGAAATTTATATAATTTATATAGAAAATATATACTTTTAACAGTGTGTTTCCCCCCCCCCCCCCCCCCGGAGAAAAAAGTCTGGAAGAAACACTGGTCGCGAGGCGGGTTCATCTATTTCTGTTTATTTCATCGCTCGCTTTTCAAAAGAGGTGCTATTTCTATTAGGGTTCGTCCATGAATGTCACATTCCGTAGAGGCTGGAGTATGGTTTCATAAAGTGTGACGACACACTTTGCAATAATTTTTGAAAGTTATGTTTACTTTTTTTTTACATGTAAGCTACCAGTTTTGTTTGTTTTAAATTGTTTAATTCAATATTAGGATGTCCACATGGACCCTATTTCTTTCTTCCCCCCCCCCCCTCCAGTTCACACGCGTCCACAAAAGTCGTTTTTTTTTTAATCATCCAGTTTCAAAAAAGGTATTTATTTTCTCCATGCTATCTTCACAAAAGAGCAACTCTTCTTTGCTATCATCCGCATGAATATAGACACAGACCAGCAACTGCGAACACGAACTCACGTCTGTTGATTTATCAACTTGAAAAGCAAACAATGGTGAAAGCTTAATTTCAATAAAAATGTGTTATTTAACAATTACGTACATGCAGCGTTTGATGAGATTTTCTCCTATTGTTGTTTTTTTTTTTTTTTTTTTTTTTGCTTGGCATTTTCTACCGCGACTTCATTTGATGCTAGCGCTAATGCTGGTTAAAACTTCCTGTTTGATCAAGTTTCTGGCGTTTGCAACTAGAATCTAGCTTCTTACCGACGAAAGAACTCCATATATTTTTTGGTGTGTTCCGAATGACTCGTCTCAAATGACGTTTTAGTTTTGAAGATTTCATTGATTCGTGACTGAGAACAACTTTGTACAGTGCTTTTTGTTTCTTCTCAATTACATTTTCAGTGATGTTAATGAAGCCGAATTTAGAAAATTCTTCTAAATATTTATGTTTTGTTTCAAATTACTAAGGTTTAGTATACCCGTTGGCGACCCCCTAGAAAGACCTTCGCGACCCCCAGGTTGGGAACCCGTGATTTAGAACTAAAGAGAAGTCACAACTCAGCTTCCATCAATATATTTCTATATTTTTCGAACTTTATTTGAATAATAAATGAATGGATTGTTAAAAATAACGTCAAACTAAACCAATAATTCTGAATTAGAACCAATCGCGTGTGTTGTGGTTTCCCACTGTGCATTAGAAAAACCAAAATAAAAATGCCATGATGTGTCTCTAATCCGTACCACCCGCATGGTAACTATTACGCTTCATCTCAGCCAGATGGGCACTCACGATTTGTTGCAAATTGAGTTGGTTACTTTCAGTGTTTCTTCCAGACTTTATTGTCCGGGGGGGGGGGGGGGGGCGCCAGACACTGTTAAAAGTATATATTTTCTATATAAATTCCATTCTGTTCGGGGGTAGGGGTTGGAAACTTCAGTTACGCGAATAGGCCCTATTATTTCAAATTAAATAAATCACAAATTAGCCAATTCCATTGCTAAACAAAGATTTATACAAAATAATAGACCTAGAATCAACGGCTGGCTTGTGGCTTAAGTATCGTTTTTCCGTAGCTCTATTTAAATTCCTTGTATTCTCGAATTAGATGATCAAATTAGAACTGTCCAGCGTATCCTAATCAAAATTGATAATAGTGTTAAAACCAAATTTTAAAAAGCAAGCAGATGCATCGTTAAAGCTATAGGGCTGGTAAGTAGGTCACCAACCAGTTCTATGGCTCATGCAGGTTTTATTGAGCCGTATAACTGGTTGGTGACCTACTTACCTGCCCTATAGCAGACAGAAAATTTAGCTTTATAATGCGGTAAACTTTTGAAGGGCAAGATGGTCTTCCGTGGAAGCTCTCATGTAACCAAACAGACAAAAAATGAAAGAAATATACACATTTTTAAACAAACTCAAGTTTTAATAGTATACTAGACTACCCGTCATCCTTTGGATAACTGGGTTTCGGGGGTCATTCATAAATAACATCACATCTGTCACTTATCGAAACAAAAACAGACCCCACATTCAAAAAGAGGTCACACCTCAGACGTTTTTGTCTTTTAAAGGGGTAGGCTCCGGGAAAAAAAACGGGAAAACTTTTTTTTTTATTAATAAGCCTTTTTGTGTGTATATATATATATATATAAGTTAGGGTACTTAAGGGAAAACCGCTAAAAATATTTTTTTCAAATTTTCAAAGAATTTTTAAGGTGAAATACCATTAAATTTAGCATTAATTTCAATGAAATTTCGCCATACCAAATTTGAAAATTCAAATTTAAAAATTACAACAACTAGTCAGCTGACTCCATTAGGGTTAGTACAAGAAGGATCAATTGTCATATTGCCGATATATATATTTATGAAATTTTAGAGCTCCACAAAAGGTTTTTTTTCTAGATAGCCACCGTTGCCATGGCAACCATATTTCCAAAAAAGTCCCCCCGATGCTTGCAAATATTTTCCTTTAAGTACCCTAACAATATACATAACCAAATAAATCAATAAAACGTTTTAATTAAGAAATTGGTTTTTTCTGGAGCCTACCACCTTAAAAACACCTATTTCGGCTGAGCATGGGTCTGACCTCACTATCCTTTCATATGCTGAGATCACAAAAACAGGTTAACTCTACTTCACGTGCCCAGTATCCCGCCAACCCAGACATGTTTTTGTCTTTTAAAACACCGATTTCGGCTGAGCTTGGGTCTGACCACATTATCCCTTCATACGCTGAGGACACAGAAACAGATGAACTCTACTTCACCTGCCCTGCGTCCCGCCAAGTCCTGATAGACAACTTATCATTCACACCTTTAATAGAAAAAATAGAAAGAAAAAAAAATAAGACGAGATGTGTCTCGAATCCGTACAGCCGATATGGTAACTATTGTTTTGTACTATCGACTTAGCTATGTGGGCACTTACGATTGAGTGCAGAATTAAGTCTATATATACTGCAAAGTAAGAAACTTAAGTTACGCGAATAGACCCTATTATTATTTCAAATTAAATTATATCCCAAATTAGCCAATTCCATAGCTAAACAAATAAAGATTTATATAAAATAATTAAGGCCTGAAATAGTTAAGTATATAGATTCTAGATCTAGATAGAGCTAGATTCTAGATGTAGAATTTACGTTAAGGCTAGATCGATAAATCCCATATATTCTCGAATTAGATGACCATTGAAGCTAAAAGGCAAAGATTTATATCAAATATATTATACAATAATTTATTGTGTTTTTATATAATTGATTTTATTGTTATAACAGTTAAATGTATATGAATGTATGTTGCGAGTGTGTGTCTTAAAAAGGCGAGATAAGTATAAAATATAGTGTGGGTGTGCGCATGCGCGAAAGGAAAGGAAGCGAGAGGTAGCTAGCGCGCGCGAAGAACATGGTAATGTCTGGAAGTGAAGGCGAAGCTCTTATGAACCAATGAAATTACAGGAACAAGGGTTGATTTTGTTTTTGAGTGTGTGCCATGAAATAGGTAGGAGAAAAGGCCTGTGACATTTTGGTGTCAGAAGTGAGCGGTGCTCCGCACCGTAAAGGAAAGAATTAAATCTAGATTTAGTATTGTTGACATTTTAGTAACTGAATAACTTTTCTTGGACCATTAAGATGGAGGACTATGCCAAATTCATTGAGTTGGCTGATTCGTTAGGATACACTGGGGCAGAAAAGGCTAAATGGGTTGAAAAGAAGATAGCTGATGCAATTGAAAGGAAAGACAGGGCTTTAGAGAGGGAATTAGCTAAAGCTAAAATAGAGGCTGATAAGGAACTAGATCTAGCTAAAATAGAGGCTGAGAAGGAAAAAGTTAAAATGGAGGCTGAGAAGAAAAAAGTTAAAATGGAGGCTGAGAAGGAAAAAGTTAAAATGGAGGCTGATAGGGAACTAGATCTAGCTAAGGCTAAAATAGAGGCCGAAGACAAAGAAAAACAGAGACAATTAGAAGACCGAGAAAAACAGACAATTAGAAGATAGAGAAAAACAGAGGCGACATGAGTAAGAATTAGCCAAAATTAAAAGTAACCAATCGCAAGACAGCAATGTTAACAAAACGGACAATTGGAAGCCTAAATTCAGAGCATTTAAACCACAGGAAGAAAGTGTGGAAACTTACTTAATACACTTTGAGCAAACATGTAAGAGTTTTGATTATTCATCTGCTGGGAAGGCACAGGCTTTATTGACTAATTTGACAGGAGAGACTATTGCCATAATAGCAAGTATGTCTGAGGCTGAAAAAGAAGACTATGACCTAGTAAAAGAAAGATTGTTGAAACATTTTGGAAAGACAGAAGACTATTACAGGAAGACTATTCGAGATGCTAGAATTAACAACACTGGTGACATAAACCAGATCATTTTTTTATATTCGCAAACACATGAATAAAAGGCTAGAATTGGCAGAAATAGATTTAAAGAATCTTGAGGCAATTATTGAACTTTACCTGATAGATCATGTTTTAAATAATGCAACAGATAATTTATTCACTTTTTTGAGTGAAAGAAAAGTTAAGACACAGAAACAATTAATAGAGCACCTTAATATTTATAAGGATGCACATCCAGGGGCTATTTTAGACAAAAGAGAGCAGGGAGAGATTTCAGCAGCAGTCTACAGTAGAGACTCTGGCAGGGTTCAAAGAAGGCATGGCAACAACAATAGAGATAGAAGTAATAGTGCACCTACCAGATGGAACCCAGACAGATATAAATATAGCAGAAGCACAGAGTGTTACCACTGTGGGAAAACAGGCCATGTAAAGTCTGAGCATTTCAGCTTACAAAATAGAGAT